CGAAGCCTGGTTTGTTCCATAACTCTGGGTTAACTGCATCTAAATGGAGCATATCAGTTTTCATGGTAACCTAGATTACCGCTAATCGTCCCTTTTATAACTCGGCCCGAATGCCCGACTATAAGACAGGGTTAACAAAATCAAAAACTAGCTTCTCCTTTCCTAATACGCCTTATAACTTGAGCCTATACGAAATACGACTTTTGTTTGATGAACTTAAAGCTTTATTGATAAAGAATGTACTCGCACATTGATTGCACATTAATTGTACAGCAATAGAGCAGAAAGTCAAGTTACCGAGTTAAAGGAAATATAACAGTTAATGTAGCGTCGACCTTTTCAAAAATGGTGGTCACCAACTTTGTGCACATGGCCAACGATAACAATAATAATGAAAGAAATACATTGAGTGCCTAACTCACCTTGTCCTGGGATAACCCCAGCCTCAAATTTATTTTTTAGGTTCAGGGATGTTCTCTTGTCATGACGTGTCGAGAACCATCTTTTTCTTCGATTTTTTAATGCGTCTTTTATCTGTTGAGGTCAAGTAATAAAATTTAGCTCAGTCTAAGTCGGTTATTCAGTACCCGTTGAAGGGGACATAGGATTATTATATTTTTTTAATAAAAATTATTTCTTCTAGAGCTAAGACAGACAATTAATTAATATAACAATTAAGCATATAATTCTTAAGAGCTTTACGAAACAGTCCAAGAGAATTTGATTCAGCAACACTAGGAGGCAAGGAATTCCAAAGTCGAGAACCGATGAATTTTAGGGAGCGAAAGCCATATTGGCTAGTGTTAATTGAGGTTACGTAAAGGTTTCCATAACATGAATGGCGTGTTGAATAATATATAGATTTAGTCAGGGCTAAAAGAGAGGCTCCCATTATTAAATTTATAATTTAAATCAAACAATAAACTTGTATTCCACAATTCAGTTAACTTTAGAGCACCTTTATGTAACTTTTGAGGGAAACGCTACGTAATTTTAGAGAAAAATAATTTGCAAACAGCCCAAGAGTGAACCAAATCTTACATCGAGTTGAGAGCCTTATACATACACCCAAAAACTGGTAATCATCTTCGATCACATTTAAGAGCCATAATGGCTCTTGATCACCGTAGATCAATTAGGCCTGGAAAAAAATCAGGGCAAATTTTTTGCGTTCGACAAGTTTACTTTGCAAAATCTCGCCAACAAATCTGGGCGCGTGTAAACCAACCTTTTATACCATTTATACATCACATCTGAAGTTAAACGGTACTATGAGGCACTATTTTTATCATACAGACCTCGGACAGAAAGCAGTATTTCACAATTTTGCAATACAAATTGCAGTTATTCAATATTCAGGACGATGGAAGTACGCGTGGGCTTTTAGCTAAACCGTTAAAAAAAATTCCAAAATGACCTATACGGCCATTCGGTCGTCACTTTTGTAGTGTGAGCTGTGGCGAGTGTTTGAATGAACATTAACAGAGTTACACTCCAACGTAATAAAGAACTTATTATCTTTATTTTTTATTTGCGCGTGCATTTTGAGTATTCCTGTAAGCGATGTTCACTGAACGACTGAAAACAATCGGCACAGCGATGAAAATTACAAGAGAGACCACTAACAATCAATTTTGATACAAGAAATAGAATTCGGTGAAACATATACAAAGGCAACAATTCAAAGCTTAAGTTTATGTTTTAAGCCGGCTTCCCGGTGTTTTTCAAAGCTTTCTTTTACTGCCAGAATTATAATTAAATATTCTTTGGAACGTTTTCTTTCTATTTGCGGTGAGTAAAATGTCTAAAGGCTTTTTTTTTAAGTTCTGAAGTTTATATCAAACCTGATTCTCGGTCAGATCATTGTCTCAAATCTTACAAACGTGCATAAACTAAATAGCCGCATAAACTTCGCTCGACTTCATTAAATTAGATACAAAAAACAAACATCAAATACAATAATTACTCTCGCTTACCATTCGAGATGCAGCTCCTGAAAAGTATCAAGTAAGGCCAGTATCGCGTCAGACTTTGCAACCCTCTTACGCATCAAGCAAGGTAAAAACGAAAACGATGCTATCCGAAATCGGATTTCCGACTTTGACAAGCGAGGTATTTCTCAACTAAAAACCCAATAAACAAACTAGCCATGAATAACAGAAGACTCCTGATAGCAGCTGAATTTCACTTTGTTCATCCAGTGGAAAAAGACAGTTAAAAACATCACAAGTTGACACGAAACTCTGTCAGCTTCAGCTGTCAAAGTAAACAAGGGTCAAGAAGCTGCATAAATTTTCCTCATGAACTCACCTGTCAAATTTTGACCAGCCAGAGCGTAAACATTGGACGTAGAGCTTGACCAACGCGTGACCATGATGAGAAAAGTCAAGAGCAACTGTCTTCCTTGCCTGCAACAGCTGGCTGAATTTTCGCGTCCGAGGTCAGTTTGAAATCAACATTGTAATTGTGCGGCACATAAACACAACATATTTCATATGAATTTACGAAAAATTGAACTTGAGCCCGCGATGACTTGAAAACTAGTAGCTTGTCAGCGGATAACTTCATTAAATACTTGACCTCGATGGGTCGACACCTGACCGTCGATACGGTCAAGTGATACTGGCCAACGGGTACCCTGTTTTGACAGCTGTCAATTGGTCAAAACATTGATGTCCAATATGTGTGCATTATCAGTTTTCTTGTGCTCCCAAACTAGCTAAAAAGTATGCGATTGAACATTGTTCGCGATCTAGTAAAAAAATTAACTGGTCAGCGGACAGCTTCCAAATAAATCACGTCACCTCGATGAGTTGACGAATGAGCCCGCGATATGGTCATGGGATACTGGTCAGTGGTGATCCTGTTTTGACAGCTGTCAATTGACCATATTGTGAATGTCCCATATAAAAGATGTGGACTTGCCAAGACACGCCTGAGACATCCTTCCCTTCCTTTTGATAGTCTCCCCTACCCCAACTCGTACAATCGTTAGACGCGTATACGCTCGGTCAATCACGTGACAACCAAGCGAAAAGAGGTTGACCAAATTCCATGAGGATGGGGTTCTGTCCCACGCACGCGAAGTGCGCGTTGAAGCCCCGCTATGAATGAGCAGTTGATGTGAATTTGAAATAGTCACTGAAACGCGGGGATAACAGTCTACGTGACCATTGATAAACAAAGGAGAGTACCTGTAACTTAATGATATCATTTAGTTTAAGTAAGTTGAAAAATTTAATATATATAGAGGCTCTAGATGGGATCTACAATCACGGACAAAAGTAGTTGGGAAGGTTGTACAACTTATAATTAACAGTAGTCCATTTTAATCCTGAAAAAAGGAGAAATATGCTAAATATCCCCCGTCCCCCCAATTCAATGTTGGGATACAACAGAACAATTACGCGCACAAACATTAACGTTTTGATCAACATTGGGCCAGGGGCGGGGGGAGGAAGGAAAAGAAGAGAAAAGAAGAGGTAAAAAAGGCAACTTCCCAACACTTTTGACCATGATTGTAGGTTCAGAGAAAGATATTATTCTGATTGCTTTTTTTCTGAATAATGAATAAAAGTGTTAAAACGAGGGGAATGTTAAACCCCAAACATGGACACGATAAGTTAGAAAAGGAAAAATAAGAGAGCAATATAGCATAAGAAGAATATCACTATCGACAAAATTTCTTACTTTAGACAAAACACCCACGGTTTTGGATAATTTCAAGTAAAGCTCACTAATGTGTTTTTCCATTAATTTTTAAGTTGGAATCAAATGTTATGCCAAGGTACTTAGCAGAGTCGAGTTTTTTAATAATTGAATCATCGATTTTAACTGAAAATGACTAGGCTTAAGCTTACAAGAATGAAAAAGGATAAAATTAGTTACTTTCATTCGTTCGGCAATATATTTAAGTTCCGGATTTAAGGTTGATTCAAGGAGACTGAGGCTCTTGCTAGAAAAATAGAGGCTAGTATCATCAGCAAATAATTGAAATTTAACAAACTGCATGTTTTAGGTAAGTCATTAATAAGAATAAAAGAGGTCCTAGAATAGATCCTTGAGGAACACCACAAGTCAAAGGTAAAGAGAGTGAACTATGGCCATTTACACTTACAAGTTGTTCTCTTTGGGATAAATATGCAGCACCTCTTATTCCATACTGGGTAAGCTTAGTTAATAAAGTTGCATGATTGACAGTATCAAATGATTTTCTAAAATCGATAAATATTCCACAGCCAAATTCATTATTATCAATGGACTGGCGAATAGATTCGGTGATAGAAATAAGAGCATGGGAAGACGAACATTTTTCTCCGAAACCAAGCTGAAATGGATAGAGAATTATTAATTCTTCCAAACAGCTATACAGGCGACGATAAATAGCTTTCTCAAATAATATACTAAAGTTGTGAAGAACATAAATTGGTCTATAATTGTCTTTGTCAAATCTTGAGCCTTTCTTAAAAACAGGGGTTATCTTTGCTAACTTTACTTTATCAGGAAAATTACTACTACTAAAAAAATCATTGACTAAAAATGGAACACAGATAATGGAACACGGATAATGCGCGCCAGCACCGGTTAACAATAAAGAACGCTGACAAGAGCAGCAACCGGAAGTTTGATGTCTCGCTTGATTGAACGCTTCCGTCTCACTAAAGAAATCTTAATGCCTGTGTTTTAGCTTCCGCCGTACGAATTTGTCGAGTGTACAGTACACTGTACCGCAACTGATCCCCGACCGTAAATGATTCCCAGATCGAAAATGATCCTCAAAATGGACCGCAAAAGATCTTCGACCGCAACTGATCCCCATTGTCGACCACAAATGATCAGGAGAGGAAACTCAGAATAGCCTGGACTTAAGTTACCGGATCATGGTGTCACGTTCTAGTTTATTATCGCAACAAAAAGCGCTAATTAAACTGAATAAATTTAACACATAAATGCCAAGACTGAAAAAGAGAAACTGTAAATAAAACACAAATAAATGCAAACAAGAAAAAAAAAACTATTACCTGTTTGTTGAGAACGCAATGAAATATGAAGATCATCAAGCCTTGGAGAGAGTTGAATATGGTGAATATATACTTAAAGATGATGGTATCCGAATTGAAACTCAACAGTCCAAATAGCCACGTGATTCCAAGCAGTGGAAGAATGACCCCAGAGGCTTTGACTCCAGTTATCACTTTTTCCACCTGTGTCTTGTTCTTCATGTACTTTGTTCCCATCATTTGGCGAATAACCAAAAAAAATACCACGATATTTACCTGTAAAAGTTACAGAAATTTACTTGGCAAATGACCTCGAACCATGTTACTTTTTTAGCTTCAAGTCGTTATAGTGTCAAGAGATATTGTTTCAGGTCAATTCTTTGCTTGGCATTACTTAATATCATTACCATAATACACAAGATGTAGAGTTATGAAGAAGGTATCAAACAAATTTAATCCGATCAGGGGTCACTAACAATAATAATTTTTGGAGATTTTTTTTAAACCTTTTCAAGTTTCATTGCCATCCTATCCTGAGAAAACAGTCGACATTTCGCGACGCCACCACTGGTTTCCTCGCAAAATGACGTCTAAGGAACGAGCTCAGAAATTCTGTACTGATGACGCGTCACTGCCCAGACCTGGTAAGTGCATATGATTGGCCGAAGTAAATTTTTCAACCGGCACGACCAATCAGAAGCACTACTCAGATCTGGGTAGTGACAGGTCATCAGTATAGAATTTCTGCGCTCGTTTCTACGTCATTTCACACGGAAACCAGTGGTGGTGCCGCAAATTTCGTCTGTTTTCTCAGGCTATTGCCATCCGGACGTAGTAACAGATGACCAGAAACTGTTTCAGTCAGCTTAAATGCAGTTTTCAATAACAAAACTTTTTCATTATGTGTGTAATTCAAATTCATAGGAAGACACGTTTAACCAAAACAAGTTATTCTCATTGACTTTTCGACTAGTCGATAACAAGTTTTAAACCTTAGAAATAAAGTCCATGATTTCTCCAGTTTTACAATGTTCACTCCCATACATCTCACTGAATTTTCAGTGGATGTTGAATCCGTGATGGTGGCCTATTCTTGGATCGTAAGCCTTTAGAATGACCCGGCTCAGTTGGGTTTGGTAGGCCCAAAATATTTGTTATCTTGAAGAGCCTATGATAGACTAGCTTTATAATCTAGACTTTTCTGCAACATTTAAAAGGAGAGTTAGGAGGAAAGTTAGGTGTACTTTCGGTAGTTGACTGCCTTCAATTTAAACAACGGCACGGTTGGCGTATTGATCGTAATCTACGTTGAGGAAGGGGGACTTCAAAACACACTTTGCGCAGATAAAATATTTTCATCTTCAAAAAACTGTCGGTTCAAATAGCAGAAAAGGCTTAATCTATACCATAAGGTCAGAAGCGCGAATCCATACAGGCTTCCACTGTGTTACAGAAATCGGTCAGATTTTTCGAAATAGATACATTTTTATCATAAAAACACTTTCCAGGTTGAAATCTGGCCAATATCCCGTCTGAATGACTCGGAAATCCAGAAAAGGGGACTTTAAGGAGTCGAACGAAAGCCAAAAAAATTCCTGGGGGAGCCTGCCCCCCTGATTCCCCTTGAAGCTACAATCGGCGACAAAATTGTTGAGACATTGTACTTAAATAGGGTGACTTCGGAGAACAAAAGAATCCGCACCCCTCCCCTGTCCCCTCCATTCAAAGTTGGGGTGTTTGTTGTTTTCTATAGGTAGCTAGAACAAGGGCCCAACATTGTACGGAGGGGATGGGGGAGGAAAGCTATATTTCGTCCTTTTGAAGTTCATAAAACGTAAAAAAGCCTACTTTTGGGCGAAGTGTCACAACCCATTTTGTCGCCGATTGTCTGGATCGAAATCTACGCGCTGTTGTCCTATTAGCACCGGTTAGGAGACGGTAACTAGTTGAGATTACTATATTCACCGGGTCGTTTTTCAGAAGATAGATAAGATACCCATATAATCCCTTTCCTGTGTTTTTCGGGGGAAAATTAGTTTTGCCAATTTTTGTACTCGGTAGTGATTTCAAGTAATTACGCAGCATACCCACGTACCGAATGATTGATTTTCCTCTGGTAACTAAGTGTGATCGGTAGGAATCGATGGCAGATAATATATTGTATTTGAATATATCCCTAGTAATTTCGAAGTATTTATTCGAAGTTTGGCTATTTGATAAGGGTGGGATGGACGATAAAATAGCCATGATTGCTATGCGCAGGAGAATTTTCAGAAAAAATGTTCCAACTTCAAATGCACAGCAAAGCTGTATAGCATCGCTAAATCCGTGCAGCAAATTCGTTGCCCATATACCCATGATGGTCTTTGAAGAATGTACTTTACAGTAGAAACTATGAGGTCAGGAGGAGACTGGCCACGAGTAACCACGAGTAACCAACTTTGTTCTTAAAAGATAATTAAATTATTTTGTTTTTTACTCATCGTGGTTACTCGTGGTTACTCGTGGAAATTCCTCCTAAAGAGCAATTTTAGCCATTATAACTACTTTAATGCCTATAAATCTATTAAGTTTCTATCCTTTTCACGTTGTTCTTTGTTTGGATGCGGTTCGATAAAGGAGAGAATAAGAAATCGTGCCCGACGCGCCACATCGCACGATGTCAAGGCACGGTTAAGCGTGACACGAAATGTCACGCACTGAAAATAACGAAATCGCCTTATTATAATTGTTCTAAAATAGGTATGATGAAGTCAAACATAACAAATAAAAAAGCCACCAGGGGTCTTACATCCCAGCATAAAAATATGAATTCAATTAACTTTCTAAAGGACGTACGGCCACTTTTGAGATTCAGACAATCGGCGACAAAATTGTAGAGACATTGTACCAAAATCGAGTGACTTCGGAGAACAAAAGAATCCGCACCCCTCCCCTGTCCCCTCCATTCAAAGTTGGGGTGTTTGTTGTTTTCTATAGGTAGCTAGAACAGGGGCCCAACATTGTACGGAGGGGATGGGGGAGGAAAGCTATATTTCGTCCTTTTGAAGTTGATAAAACGTAAAAAAGCCTACTTTTGGGCGAAGTGTCTCAACTCATTTTGTCGCCGATTGTAGCCTCCCACGCATGTGTTTTTAGGGGAGCTCGTTTTTCATCCCTCCCCACAAATGCCTGCTCAACCGAAAACAACATTCCTTTCCCATTGTTTTTTATTTGAGTAGTAAGTGACCAATCAACAGTTGTGCAATAAAGTGTTGACAGGCTAAACGCGACTAGAACGCGACCCTAGAGTTACCGTTTTCCTTCTTTTCTTTCTTTCGCTAAGGTTATGCAGTGCATGGAGTATTCTAAAATTTGAATAAATCTTATTTTTGCCGCTCTGCATCTAACATTTCTTAGAGGTCAGACAGCTTTTCCCAGTGTTTCTTCCAGATCGAGTAATTATCAGATTATCCTGCGGTCAAGGTCAACTTTCCAGAATTTGGAAAGTATAATGTGATTGGCTAAGCATGGGAAAGGAATGTTGTGTTCAGTTGAGCAGGCGTTTGTGGGGAGGGATGAAAAAAGAACTCGCCTAAAAACGCCTGCATGGAAGGCCACCTTGAAGCTTGCGCCTTTGGCGCTAGTTTGGGAAATCGGTCAGTATTCATCCCGGACCCGCGCCTGCGTTAGGCATGATAAGACTAGACACGCTAAATGTATTTTTTACTGACCAGAATAACACCTAGAGCTGGGACAATAAAGGCCCAAATCAATCCCTTATCAGCATTCAACCAGCAAGCTTCTTTGTGACCATATCCTTTCAGTCGGGTGACAGACAGCGCAATTATAACCATTATGGCTGGAAAACCTAGAAGTGTTAAGATATAATATTAGACCCCAATATGACGCACATCATAACGGCAACATGCCGCTCTTACTCTGTTTCCCCCCCCCTTGGGTTTGCTTTCTTCGTCCTTTGTACCTTTCTTTTCCTTTTTTTCGTGGAGTGATATTTCCTCCGTTAACACGACTGGCCTAAAAACTCCTTCCTGGTAGGTCAGGTATCTTTTTTTATCTTTTATCCTTATTAATTCGATTTATTAATTTAATTTAAAAATTAATTCATTTATTTAACAGTCATATCTATTTCAAAGCAATGCGAACAGTCTAGTCTAGTCCTGTTTTACAGGGATAATAACAGCCTTACAGTGTAATCCATGTTTTCCAACAGGAAAATCTGAGAGAGTGTACCTACCCCATCCAAACAGGTAAAAGAACTTTACTTTATCCTCAGCGTCCCCATGAACTCTTACGATAACAATGTAATGCAGTATACCCTCACACAACATCCATGAAAATAAGGCGAGCAAAAAATAGTGCAGTAGAGCAGCGACCACAGTGCACTGGGGCTACAAGTTAAGATAACACAGAAGACTATAAATCATTTTAACTTATTTAATAGACTAGTAATAATAACCAAGCGTTACGGAGTGCGTGCGACAACGATCGAAGGTCAAAACGCTTTTGTTCCATCGCTGTGCTTCGCGTAAGTTCTCGTGACATATGGTCAAAACACACGTGATCAGATTACGAGGGGTTATAGAAGGTCGAAACGTAAGTGATAAAATTACGTTCTGTGCATTCCATTCATTCTAAGTGGAAGGCTAATTCGTAATAGCAACCTGGATATTAGGATTGCGGGCTGCTCTTGTCCCCGCAACTATTTTTATCTGACTTCATTTGTCTTTTAATAAATTAAACTATTTTGTGTAGAATTTAACAAGTCAATAATGGGATGAAACGAGTATTCTTTGCTGGGCTAATTGCTGCATTTGCGTGTTTATTTGAATATTAAGATAGGCTCATTATCAGAGGTGACACGATAGGCCATTCTACGATGACGACATTTCACTTTAGCTACCAGAATTTATTTCAGTTTTTGCTTTCTTATGAGTAAATTTGTCAATCAAACTGAGGTTTAAAAATCAACAGCACTCTTATTTACAAAAGAAAACAACAAACTGAGGGATTTTGGAAGTTGTAGGAAAATGACATCATCGTAGTGCAAGTGGCTAAAGAAGGTTGACTCTACCCACAATAATATTGCCTTCTAATTCGGAACATTTCCTTAGGAGTATTGGGAGAGACAGTAATCTATCAGGCGGTTTGCGCGGGCTTGTTGCATTTCTACTTGAAGAATTTTACACACCTCTTCGTTTCTTGCCGAGCCTTCCAGTATAGCAAGTATGCAGCTACAGGCAATGGCAGCGCACAAGTTTAGCAGAACTTTTACTCTCGGACCTTTCAGGTCCCTCCAGAAGAACAAAGTAACAGCCATGGTCATGAGAACAGAAAACAGCGAGATGGAACAGCCAATAGTCGATATGATCTCCAAGGCTTTCTTGTGAGGTAATGATGCCTTTAAAAAGACAAGAAAGTTGGTTAGAATCGACCACCGTATATTGTCTTGATCCGAGAACGCTATTTCCGATAATTGCATTGTTGATAGTCGAAGAATTTAAGATCCTTTAACCCTATTCAGACTGGGCTTTTTTGGTCAATCTGTGACTGGGGGGCTCCTCGGACCCCCCCCTCTGTATCTCTGGAACCAATAATGCTAGGGTCATGAAATTTACACACAATGATCATCTCCGTACAAAGAAGCCCCACACCCAGTTTTGACTTCCCACGCCCAATGATGACGTCACAGTGACGTCATATTCCGATTTTTCAATGTTTCTTATTATTTTTCCACTTAGATACGTAAAATATCAATAATATTGGTAAAGTCATCTCTTTGTTATCCTTTCTTATGAACTAGTAACAAGGAAACACTTGTACAGCGAGAAAAAGCAATAGGAAGCAATAAAATTTAAAATTTAAAATGGTTGTCCGCCATCTTGGATCCGCCATTTGGATTTCCGTTTTTTTGTTAAAATTATAATTTAAAGCAACTTTCAAAGGGGAAAAAGCTCAGAATGTATAAAAGAAGTATCAAACTAATGTTTATTACCCAAACAAATGACTTTGGAAGTGTTATTTGGAAAATAGAGCAGCATATTTGTCAAAGCAAAAAAGTGACAAATTTTACCCCACCCCTCCCCCCCAAATATTCGATGTTGAAACATTTTGATGTAATTCAAAAACTAGTCCCAAGCAAAGACCATTTTAACAACAAAAAGCACTGTAAGTGTAAAAACGCGATCTTAAAACAAAAAAATCACCATTTTTTGAATTTTCCAAAACCTATGTGTCAGAAACTGGTTGCCATGGCAACATGATTAATCACATGGACATAGTAATTATACCAAAATGTTCCTAGATAAATTTTAGGAAAAGTCAGAAAATTTGAACGTCATAGCTCTTTCGGTGTAGTAGTTATCACGATTTTGCCGGGGGGGGGGTTCGAAAAGCCCCCCAAGTCTGAATAGGGTTAAAAGACGTAGGCTTTAGAGTATGTTGCAGAAAGAATAACGTAGTGAATGATACGGAGTTTACTCATCGAATACAAATCATTCCTCGGCATTTGGAGTAGGACACAGCACAAGCTAACAATGGGGAGTATTTAACCTAAAACATCGGCCCAAGGATGTCAAGTTTCCACACCAGTCTTTCTCCATCCTACTGGCCACGGAGAGCCAAAGACATGTACTTTATAATATATCTTGAGGTTCAGCAGTATCCAATAATAAATTTTAAAAACTAAACTATTATTTCATGATTGTCTTTGATTTCAACATTTTTTTTGGAATAAAGCCAAGAAATCTTGGCATAGCTCCTTTAAAAGACATGGGCGAAAGTAAAACGCGTCAGCGTGGATCTACGCGATCCAACTAAAAGGTAAATATAATAATTAAAAAGAATCAGGAAACGTCCGCATCCAAATAAAGCAAGCAGAGAAAATCCAAATTGACTGAGTGTCCCTTCTATCACAAATATCTACCTACATTTGAACCGTATCGATCCATAAGAGCTGCAAAGACAGTTAGGTGATCACATTCACACGTTGTGATAAAGGCGTTTGACTCTCTGTGGACAAGTTGGCAGCCGCTGGTTTTCCACATCGCAGGCGGTTCTTTTGGGCGCCAAAAGACACAATGCGTCTTCTTTGAAGTAAGGGCTCGTGGTGGCACCTTGAAAAGAGACACAAATAAACTTCAACTGTGTTAACCACGCTGTCGCTGGAAGTATAATTTATTAAATTTGGTGACCGGCTTTTGATAAAATCCCAAGCTATGTCAACTATACAACTTCTGGCATTGAGAATCAGGGCCAACAAAGCTATCAAAGATGACCTTTTCAGGATATACATGCACTATATATGCGGCAGTTAACCGACGTGCAGATGACCGTATTTAAATAAAACTTTGTGACCAAAACTGTGTTTATACCTTTCTGTTTTCAAGGATGATCTTAACAGGGTTCTTTAATTCGCCCAGGGGCCTGGGCTCAACGGTGGAAGAAACGATGGTAGTTTTGGGAAACATCTTGCCACCAGTTTCTTTCTGGAGTGATAACACATCGCTCAATGTTAAATAAACCAAGGTAACCACTTTGGAATCGCGAGAGGAATGAAACATTTGTGGAGGTAAGAAGATTGAACTTTGATTGTATGCAACCTGTAAACCATCATGAAGCAGCTGGAAGAAAGAAAATGAGTGTAACCTACATATTAAACATCAAACACACAGGAAATCTCTAGTATATGCGGGGTCCATTCAGGGAGTAGAATACCTTTGTCCCCCAATATCAAGAAATTTCAGAGATCTCTCCGTTTCTCTTATAGATTGATAGAATGTCCCTGGACTGTCACTACTGTATTTGGCTCTATTCACGCTTGTCCTGGTCGCTTTCAAAGTTCAGCGAATCTTTTAAATGTCTGTCACGTTTCCTCTATTTTATGCTTTGTTTTGACAAATACATGACTGTATATTCAAGGAAAAAGAATGAATACTTCCTCTAGGAAATAAAGAACCCGCTAATCAACACTTAGCGTCAAATTAATGCGAATAATGCTTTGCAGTACGTATATGATTCAAACAAGGCAACGAAACAAACAAAAAATAGAAATAAAAGACAAGGGAGAAATAAAAAGGAGTCCTTATGACAGGATATTCAAGGCTGGTCTCTCAACGTAAACAGTTTCCTGCCTGGCAGGGGTCAGCTAGAGTGGCACATTGAGTTTTCGCCAGGGTTCGAAAGAAACGCATTTCTAGTTTATGAGGGCCCCTTCTCATGAGCCCGGAAGACCGCGCTGGTCCGGTTTTCGCGACCTTGCCTTACCCCTGGCTCGGTTACCGAGATCTCTTTTTTTTCCAACTGGGGTCTCGGTAAGCGGACTGCCATATGAACAATTCAGCCCAGTTACCTAGATGAACGTGGGATAAATTCAGCGCTCCGCGCCGGATATGATATCGTCTTGCTTTGCCTGCTATATTTTCATCATCATAAGCATCCCATTTGACTGCAGTGATACAACTGAAAGAGTTGCCAAATCTATGATATGCGCTAAAGTTATAACTTTGTGCTTCGCCATGTTTGCTTTGTTTCTCGAATTTCGCGTCAGAACTCGTTGCCAGGGTCTTCGAACCTTTTTTCGTCTCAGAAACCGGGCTGAAATTTCTCATATGAACCTTAGTCGAAGTTGGTCCCGGTAACTGGGACAGCCCTGTCAACCAGGCTCATTTGAAGAGGCTCTAATAGCTTTATACTGATAGAGTACAAGGTCAGTTGTTTGTACCGGGCTGTTTTGATCAACGTGATCAATCCTCATCATCAAATTTTTGGATTGAAAATCCAGTTTCGTCGATGCGTTAACTCTGGCAGCGACTCCCAGTCCGTATGCATCCATCGTGATAACCATCATTTGACTCTTGTTTTGGCCAGCCTGTGGACAATTCAGAGCAGTCTGATAATTGATGTTGCTGTAAGAATCCTGTCCCATACTATAGCTCAAAAGGAGGTAGGACAACTCAAAAGCTGGCTAATTCTTTACTACAAATGAAAAAAAGCGCGAAAATAAAGCTGCGATTATGTTTTGCGATTACATTGTATGTATAGTGACTAGGGTTAATTAAGCACTGATCTAGAATGGTTACTTGTTTTGGGATTAAAGAAAAAGTGAAGCTAATTTGGTAGGAAAAGAAATAAATTAGTATTGGTGTCCCAGCAGAATTGTACCTTTTTTTTGGGGGGGCAGCAAAAGGGCAACAAAAAATAATAAATCGCTCATGAATAAAATGCGTGGGAACTTGTTTAATTTATGCTAACCATGTTCAGGCAAGTACTAGTAATGACGTCACAACACCATGCCATAAAGTCCATTTGTTGTCATATTTATTCCAAAGAGCGAAAAAGGATGGTTCTAAAGTAAACCATTACCCTTTTGGTTCTTAAATAAACTCCATACTAGTACCTAATGAGTGGGACTCGCGTCAATTGAAAAAAAATAGGAATAAGAGATGCGATTCCCTAGCAACACGAGAAACGGCTACATAGCGCTAAAAAAAAAATCGGATATATAAACAAGACGCACACACGTACAGAAAGTGGAGCTGACAAACTCTTTATTTCAGTTCTGACTGACTATAGATTACAAAACCATTTTCTCCGTTCTATCTCCAGGAAAGGACTAGCTATTGAAGTCTCAGCCCTTGGTGAGTTTCTTGTCTTGTTTCACGCGCCGTTAGTCAGCGAGAAACGGCCAATGTCTTCTATTTAGCGCTAACAATCGGATATAGATATAAACAAAACAAACACCCATACTCAGAGTGGAGCTGAAAACTCTTTATTTCCAGACATCATGACCAAGTTGATTGCTAAACTGTCAAATGGACTTCATGGTATTGTGTTGAAACGTCATTACTAGTACTTACCTGAGCATTTTAGAATAAATTAAGTTTCCCGCGCATTTTATTCATGAGCGATTTATTATTTTTTGCTGCCCTTTTGATGCCCGAAAAAAGCTATAACCCTGCTGGGACACCACTACTTAAATTAGAGTTTCGATTATGTTTTGCACTCTGAAAAGATACAAAATTACAGCTGCCAATAATAAGGCTGCTGACACCGACTGCACCGCCTGCAGTGGCTTTTAGTGAATTAAGGTAGTAAACCGTATCGTGAGCCCACAAGAACCTGAAAGTGTTCAAGCTTCCTTGACTGTCTTTAAAATTGGTGTTTATACTCTTTTCCTTACAACTTATAACATTAACGGTAAGGTTTCCTATAAGGTTAAGGGTTCATGAGTTGTCCGACCTCCTTTTGAGCTGTACAATTTATTATGTAGACTTCACCGCCGAAGTTCGATGGGATGTTACTATATGTGGGCTGTAAAAGGTGAGCGTAGACACGAGAACTCGAAAGGGTGCTCCCCTCCTCGCTTATCAACCAAGTTTTGCACCTGCACTTCCCTGCACTCCCCATTTGAGCCCCAATTTGGCCTGCAGATGGGGGAGGGAAATATCTAAGCATCGTAACTGTACATCAGTAGGTTCCACGAGGAGTTCTACCAGTGGCTTCCACTCCATTCAATCCTATACCATTTTTTTATACAAAGTCACGGGCATTTATTATAAATAGATTTTCTTCATAGTAAAGACATATTTACCACAAATGAAGAGTGTGATTTTACAACTTTTTTCACCTATATTTTATATATACAGTTAGTAAATATTTTTGAGGGAGAGTCCAACAAGGACGCAGTTACTCACAGGGTTCTATTAAGACAAGAACGTAAAGAAACAAGAACATCAAGTAAATGAACGAGTAAAACTTGTGTACATAGTAAAATAAAAGGTGCTCAAGTCATTCTTCTGTCCTTTTTGTTTAAAATATGATATTACAATTGCTCACGCGCACGCATGATATAAGGACACGTGCACGTGTAGGGGGACATTTTATAGGCAATGAGCATTAGTAAGTCAGTCTAAGAATTGTGCTGCGTCTCGAAGTCTTTAGTCTTTGTTCACAGAACACCTTTGATGTCACCTTTTAATGTCTCATGTCTTGACGGGTCATGCAGCAGCTGCTCGGACGAGGAGTCACCGAGTCACCAATGGTGCCTGACCCTGACCCCAAACAATGCTAAAACAACTGAACGAATGAAGTCATTTTTTTCCTACGACCAATTAGGAGAGACCTTCCGAGCAGCTCCTACATATGCTGAAGAAAATATGTCAAAGAAGCTAGTCTTGTTAGCAAGAAATAGCAATGTTACCATACAGTATATGCTAGTTCAACAGACTTACTCTATCAAGATCCCTCCAAGTTCTTCTGTTTACTGGTTCCAATAAATTACTGGCCACTTCTACGTAGTTTTGAAAATCTTCTTTTGAACTAACGTTACCAAATCTAGCATTATACTCAGCTGTTTGAGAAAGTATATCCATTGCTATAACTAAGTCTCCCCCATAGATCTTTGCCGGTCTTGAGAAACTGTCTTTTCTTGGCTTTGTAACATTTGATAGCTTTGAAAGTACTTGTCCAACATTTAGGTCTGAATGGAGGCCACCTAAACTTGCGTGCATCTAAACAAAAAGGGCAGTTGAAAAGGAGGTTTTGGTTTAAGAAGTCTTATTATAGTCAGGGTGAGGTTTTGGTTTCAAAAGTCTTATAGTCAGGGAGCAGAGACTGAAAGATACAAGTTTTGTTCAACCATCGCAACAGAAAAAGTCTGACACTTAATTCTGTTAGAGAAATACCTCCTGTTTAATGCTAGACAGTTCGAAGAGTTGAAATGTGGTACACGTTTTCGAATTACAAGGCTTTTTTGTCACGCGATCTACAGATCTGCATGGAAACAAGGCGAGATCTAAATTGACTTTAAGCACGCAATCAATGAGCAAAAAGCGATTAAAACTGATGGAAACTTCACAAACAAGTAGTTAGATTTGAAACATACGACCAGGCCATGATGATGAGTGTCACGTGACTGATCACGTAAGCATTTTTTTTTTTTTGATGTCGTGAGAAAATACTAAGTCCTTCAATTTCTCAGGTATGCTTTTGCGATTATAGCGGTTACTTCAGTACATTGATTGAATTTGCACCTGAGACAGGCTTTTTGACATTATTATCTTTAACATTATTTTAAGCTTGTTGAAGCTGCCACGAACACGATGTAAAGCAAAAGAGAGGTATATTTTAGGTCACATATCAATGAGACCTAAACATGGAAAACAAATAAATCTACAGAATGTTTCGACCTAAACTTTAAATAGCTTGGATGAAACAAATATCTTCATATCTTTTTTTTGTTTTGTTTTATGTCTTTTGTGTGCATAGTTCAGAAAAGAGGGAGGAGTATGGGCATATGGTTAAGCTTCTTCTGCAAGTCGTCAAGGCTGAGAGAACTGGTAATTGGGAATTACATATGTTAAGTGTTTCAGCTATGGTGCCATAGTCCTTCGTCATGGACAGGCTAAATTGCGCGCGCTGGCTCCCTGTGTATATAATGGACATGAGGCAGTTTGCAACTAAGCATCCGGAAGTTCATCACGAATTTGTGAATGTCAATCACGCAGTTAGTCGCTCCAGGGCGCCCTTTACCCAGATGTCGACAGAACGGACATGGCACTGGAACAGTCCGTAAATGCGGACTCTAAGAATTGGTATTTCCCAGAACCATGTGCACTAAATCGATGGTTCATCACTAGTCATGAGCGTGCGTCAGTTACAACAGCTCTGAAAGATATATTTTCGCAAGAGCGCACCCGCGTAGATATACACAAAGAGGCTGCCGCAAAAACGGGTAGCACGCGATTAGGCTGATGTTCAGATTCTTATCTCTCTCTTTACAAGCGATCTGATGAGTAATCCTTTCACGTAAGAAACTGTGTCGTTAATCAACTTCGCTACGGGTGTCGTCTTGCCCATCGACGTCGCTGATGGTATTGAGAAGTACTGAAAAGTGACGCAGCTATATGAACACATTTGTAGAACAACCGTTGAACACTAACCAATGCGTTTCTGAGAGTCGATCCCAAAGCTCAAGGTGAAAACCTATCCCGTTCTCCCTGGCACGCCAAGATGGCAGCTTGAAAAAGACGACAAAAAGCGCCCTTGCAGCTCTCATTGAAGCCAAACTGAACGTTTGCGCACGACTCCAACCTTTCCCACGAAACACCATTCATCTCACTGATAGCATGGCTTTAGTTCAAGTACTGAAATCAGCAGGGAGGTAGTACGTTCGGCGAACTCGCATCAAAGTATTTCAAGGTCATTACTACATCGCTGCAAAGAAGTTCACATTGTCTTCAACCAATACTGGGATGTATCGAAAAAGGCTGGAGAATGTGAACGCAAAGGTTCTCTGAGCGCCTAGTTGGAGGTCAAGATCCATGGACAATCTACTTCCGTACCAAAACAGTGGGGAAAGTTTATTCGTTATCCACAGAACATGATAAATCTATGTTAATTTCTGTCAGAGTCGTTTCCCAACTTGGGAAGACAGCAGCTTCCTCCAGAGAAGACCCTTGTCATCCGTGGAGGATTCAAAATGCCAGGCGGGGAGTACGATCTGGAATCAGACTACGAAGAAGCAGATACTAGGTGAGGAACATAGTTTTTGAAGTGACTCTGTATATTGGAATCGTTAATTAACAGTTAATGAATGAGGCTGAGTATCTTATGAAGAATTATGGAGATCGAGGAGGGTGTTATCCGTCGACGCCGTAGGCCGAGGTGGATAACACCCGCCGAGATCTCCATAATTCTTCATATGATACGAAAGCCGAATTCAAAAACTGTCTTATTATTCATTCAAAATAATACCTAGTTTAAAAGCATAGCTAAAAGATGCTTACCTCCATCGATCCATCGATGTTCAGTTCATCTTCGATGGTGTACGTTTATGTTTGTCCAGCTTCGCAAATATTCTCCAAATAGCAGATGTCGCCCTTCGAGTTGTCCTCTTGCTGTTCTTGCCATGTGTTTAGCTATTTTTTCGCCTAGTTCTTACTCCTGAAACGAGTGAAATGTCCGCCATTTTTTCAAGTTCACAACCAAAACAACTCAACCTCGTCTCCAGGTCTTCTCGGTTAACAGTGCCTTAACCTGCGAAAACGCTGCATTTTTGACGTCATTTCCTCGTTAAAGTCAAAATTCTTCCAAATTTGGTCATCAGTAACTGGTTATGGTGAATTTAACGTGTGCTTTTAGCCAATTAGAATCGGGGAAATATTTTGAATGAATGATAACATCATATAAAATTGCATGAGAGCCGCAGTTGACGCTGTTTAATTGCATTGTTATTCCCCAGGTTGCAGCTGCATGCCAAGTACTCTGCGGATACCTTTCAAGAGGGTAGCACTGTCTTACAATAACCAGAAAAGGATGTTCTCATTCTTAGTGTAGCCCATATTTCTGATATCACCTGCGCTGAATATTGATTCAAAACTGACGCGAAAGATCGCGTTGGTTATGTTCCAGTCTATGCAATGTCGGAAGATCTTGGCGAAAAGGTCCCGGGCCCTTCTGGCTTTCCTCGCCATTACTGGCTGCGACTCACTGGCTGAGCCCTTGCCGGAATTGGTTAGAAGAAGGGATGGGAGGTACTGACAAGAACCGAACAGCATCAAGATAGTCCAGGTCCTCTCGGTTCCCAGCCAAATCTAAGTATAATCATATAGTTTTGCCAAAAGTGAATCTTTCATCTGTGATCTGAACCCAAGCTCTAGGATGAAGCCACGCGCTGTGGATGAATTGAAATATTTCCTGTTCTGTCAGAAAGAGCAAAAAGAAAAAAAAAAGAAAGAACTGCTCCCGGCTACATCTGACAGCTTGCTCCTGCACTTAAGAGCGAATGTCTCTAAGTATCGACCAGAGGTGGGAAAAATAAAATTTTTGGAAAATCCCGCAAAAAATTATATAGACTACCCTAGGTATCCTAGTTATAAAAATATAAAGTTTAGTTTCATCCGATAAATATTTTGGCAATACGGCGAATGCCAATTTCGGGCGATCGACGACCCCCGCCAAACCGCTTTTTCGGGCCTATAGACCGGCCTGCGAAAAGACCACGATTTGAATCGAATTCAAACATCATTCAACCCAAAAAGTTCCTTATCATATTAAACGGGTTTTAATACACATTTTGAGTGGTAATGTTTTCGAATTGACTGCAACTAGAATATTTTATTAATTTTTAAATATTTCCAAAAGTTTAAGGATTTTACGCGAACAAAATATTGTCAAATTTCAAGGCCTAAAATCACATCCGATACATGATTTCAAAAGAAAAAGACATTCCACATTAAAAAGCAATCTCTAAGCTTTCAAAATATGCTTTCAAAACTCTGGGCAACATATGAAATGAATTTTTGGGAACGCAAAATTCACGGAGCATTTAAGTGTAATTTGACCTTTCTGACTTGACAGATAAGAGGTTTGGCGCGCCACAAATCAATCCTCCAACAAATGTTTCAGCCAAAATACGTTTAACTTAAGCAATCTCAAGTCCCACAGTGATACATAGACGCTTCATATATATTAGGTGGAACGTTTCATAACATTTTGTCAGCTGTGAATGAAGAACTCCTATCCTGGCCTTCAAGTGCCGTATTTGAACTCGCCTCCCCAATGTAAACATTTGGGTCAAGTTCCGATCACGAAACGGCGAAGTTTTCAAAATCTACACCAAATATCAATCCTTTCTAGTATTTAATCAGGTCTACAATTTATTTTTTGTACCTTGTGTCCTTGTTTGACTTCATTTCTGCGATAAAACTGAGACAAACCACTGCGAAATTCCCGCTCGCTCGACATCACCGGTGAGGGTAAAAGGAGGAATGAGTTTGCGGAATGGCATGTGGCATGGCTTGTGGAATGACATAATTATGCGGAATTTAATATACCCAGATCATTTCCACAGAAATAAATTAAACTGAAAAGTGCGCCCTTTTTTGGCGCAAACGCAGCCGCTGTTTTAATGTTGCGGGCTCAACATACGATGACAATCAAAAAACCACGTATGCTCATTGTCGACCAGCCTTGTCCGCACAGCCAAAAAGGTTCTTCTTCTATTGAAGAAAAGATGTTTTCGAAGGTCACGCTCCCGTCTTCTTTTTTAATTAATTTTTTCTGCATAAGATGTTTGTACGATTAACGTAACAGTTTCTTGTTACCTATATTTGTATTCCAAACCGTGTGAGAAGTGTTTCTTTATGAGACTGTGGGTTACGTGGTCGTGACATAATTGATAATATTCTTCAGAGATGAATCGAATCTTGTATTTTGTTTCCTCAGTTGCGAGCTTGAGACGTGCGAAACAGAAAAATCGACCAAAATGTTAATTTCGTGGCAAGAGTTGAAAAATCAAGTTCTTTCATTTTGTTCATAGATAGCTTTTAGGAGTATAACAAACCTAACGTAGATTGTTCCCGCCGAAAGCCTTTCATTCGTGAGAAAAAAAAAAAATAGAAGATCGGTTTTCGATGTCGGAGTCCGTCTCAGACTGCATTAATTTTTAACCTGAAATTCGCTAACATCAACTTTCCTCGCGTTCGCAAACGAAGCTGGATGGAGAAATTTGGACACTTTCCAAGAACAGAAAAATTCTTTTCCTTCCACTAGAAGATTTTTTCTGGACAATAGGGAAGCTGGTCGTACTGAAATAATTTTAAAAATAAGGGACAAAATTTAAGTTCGTTACTCATTTTTGACGGCAATATCTAACATGTGGTATAACTCCAAATTCTCTTTTTGCTATTTAAATCGCACATTTACACATTCATTTAAAACATACCTGGGAATTGGCTTGGGTAAGTGAAGGAAATCTCTGTGAGACACCATCGAAGTTCAGGAATTTTCATGGTAGGCTGGCGGTAATTGTCTGTATTGTGTAAACACTTCGAATTTCGAAACGCACATAAATAAATATATTTACAGCCTAAAGGCTCGTTTTTCGTACGTCTTGTAGGTTTTTCTTTTGCAAAATTGCTTTTTTCAATCAAAGAATGGGGTAAAAAGGTGAAACTGAGTTAATTTTAGCCATTTTGAAACACTGAACTTTATCTGCCAGCGACTCTGCGTGACAGTCTGTTCCGTGACTGCAGGTGGCACAACGTACGTTTGAAGAGACGGAAGTAACGCAACGTAATTCTTGATTAGACTGTTCACAGTCCCCTATTTTTTCGTGAGATCGTTGAGATATAGCGCGTCTTTTAATGACAGCCATCTTGGTTTTCAAATGTACCGAGGGGGCGGGCGTCGGGGATTATAGCTCTAGGGGGAGGTGGGCGAGAAAAATAGAGGGACTGTAATAACATCACTGCAGTTTGCGTTCACGGAGCGCGTTGTACCAGCAACGCAGGCGTTTGATTGGTCATAAGACAATAGATGTTAATTTGCGTTGACAACGGGTTTAGTTTAAGTTGCCGACACTGACAAGTCTTTGACAAGTAGTCGTTTCTATAAAACGCACGCTTTCATACCGTAAGGTACAACTTGCGCAAACACACGAACGATTTTTGGTATTTTGTGGATGAATCACGTAAGCCAACATGCTTTGGAATCAGCCCGGCCGCGGGAATGTTGTAACACAGTTTCTGCCAAACGAACTGAAATTTAACACAACGCCGACGCAAAATAGATGACCTGTCAGAAATGCCTGGCTTTTTATCGGGACGTTTTAACCATTTTAGTCTATGGTCAAGTGAGCATGCTTAGCGATTCGATTAGGAAAATGTTTCTCTTGTGCCTGTTTGCCGATTTTATTTGTAGGAATGGCCTAGAAACATTATAAAATCACTGTTTCGAAAGGAGGTATCTGTAAACAAGCGTAATCGATGCTAAATGTGTCTGGCATGTTTTTCATCGCCAGCGGAGTTTCTTAATTAATGAATGGTAAAAGGCGTGAAATTCCTGTCACGCCTCCTGAACGCGAGCTGCAGTGATGTTATTACAGTCCCTCTATTTTTCTCGCTTCCTCCCAAACCGCCCCCTGCTCCCTAAGTAATTTTGACACTCATGCAAGATGCAGCCCGAAACGCAAAGCGCTCGATCTCGACGATCTTACGGAAAAATAGAGGACTGTGAACAGTCTATTCTTGATCGAAGGAGTAACATTTTTGGTGCCGACAGTATTTTGAAGAAGCAAAAAATCAACCGCACATGTATTCTGGTACTCCATTCTATCGAAAAATAAGGATTTTAACAATGGTTATTCGCTAAGGATAACGGAAAAAGAAGATATTTAATTTCGTCTTGTTACTTTACAATCGAGGAGACTAGGTTATTTTGGTCACGCCTCACTATATTTACCGGACTTCAATGTTTTCGTTTGGAGGCTGCCTTCAGGAACCCTAGCCAATTCTCAGGTATGTTTTAGATAAATGTCTAAATGCGTGAACCAGTGAAGCAGTTGCTCACTCAAATTGGCGCCAAAAAAGGCGCGGCAATGAAGCGCGCATTTCCATATTTTACATTCTGCATAATTATGTCATCCCGCAAGCCATGCCACATGCCATTCTGCAAACTCATTCCTCCTTTTACCCTCACCGCAACACGACACGTGTCACGTGAAAGAGCCGCTTTAGACTCGATTGCGTTACGAAAACATGACACAGCGATTATTCCTGATTTGTGTGAAAAAAAAATCCCATCTCTAACCTACATGTTACAGCTATGCCATTGAATGAGCAGACAATCTCAATTTTTTTTCTTACGATGCAGTTTTACCGGTCGCGGGCTTATGATTCCCGAGCGTGTCTATTAAACCGTGAAATGCATATATTTAAACGTGTTCTCTCTTGTTGTTTGTTTTGGTTCAACACTTTTTTCCCGTCCTGATAGATCTGCCAGCTTAGGAAAAAAACCTAATGAGTTTCGCAGTAATTCTGCAACATGCCATCTAATATGGCCCATCATGCACAAAGAGCCTATAATTACAAGTAAAAAAAGCACGAGTTAGAAAATCGTGCTACCCTTGTATCTTGTGCTTGCGATACCAATCTTGTTAGTGCACTCTCGGTCTAAGCTAGTACACGTCTACTTGCTATTGTACGACGATATTAACAGCGTGCGAATATGGAGAACTAGTTTTAGGCGAGCTTGGTACAAGTACCAAATACACGAGCACAGAGTCAAGTGCGTATCGGGGGTACAACACCGCCGGCAGGCTAGGTACGTTTTACTGAAATCTCACTTTACGCTTAGGTTAAGCTGTCCACCAATTGCACTTTTGTAGTCATAAGGTGAAATGAGCGCACCGTCGACCTCAAGTTTTTCAGTTGTTGCTGTCACGTGTTATCGACGTAAAATATGGTTGCTTTACCTTTTTATTTTGGCAATTTATTAAGCGGGCGCTGTTTGGCTTAGCCTCCGTAGCATGCTAGGCGCGCGAGGGGAATACGCGTCTTCGACATTTCTTCTGACTCTGATGTCTGTGAGGTGTATAAAGGATTCGAAAAAATAAAAATTTACAAGCTCTCGTGAACTCACCTTTTTTTGCACCTCATTCAGGAGCACATGACTACCTTGTAGCTTTTAAGTTTAATAAAGAGCAAAAATTACACTTTTTGTAGTTTTTTGGTCACGTGACGTTCACTATTATAACCTGATCATATGTTCGACATCTAACTACTTGTTTGCGAGGTATCTATCAGTTTCAATCGCTGTTCACTCATAAATTGCGTGCTTAAAGGTCAATGTAGATCTCAGCCTCGTTTCCATGCATTGCTGTAGATTCCTCTACAAAAAAGCCCTGTAATACGAAACATATACCGCATTTCAACTCCCCGAAATATCTAGCATTAAACGGAAGGTCTTTCTGTAGCAGAATTACGTCTCAGACTTTTTATATGGCGATTGTTGAACGAAATTCGCATTTTTCGGTCTCTGCTCCCGAACAATTACTTTTAAGGCCTCGTCCATAGAAATCCAGACAGGCAGAAACCGAATAATACAATGAATTTGAGAATATCCGATTTGTGGGCAAAATGAACCGGTTTCTGCCGTAACAAACAAAGAAATTTCACAAGTAATCAAGCAAACTGTTCCCGAAATACACAAAGAAGGTGATGAAGTTTGGTTTGGAAGTTTTAACAAGTAAAGCTTCGTCTTTTTGACTTAATTGAATTTATCGATGAAATCGGTGAAAAAGTTTTTTTGTTTACAAGTGAAAATTAAGCTTAAGTCTTGCGTTACTTTCATTAGCTGACTTGTTCATAAATAAGCTTAAAACTAAATTTAATAATCATTTTTTACAGAATGGTTTTGAATAAAAAAAAGAATTGACAACTTTTTTGAAGAAATTTTCCCGCAAGAGCTAAACAAATGCCTTCAAAAGTTTTGTCGGCAAGAAAAAGCGACGGCCGCGACCGTTCGGTCATTGCGCGCAAAAATTGTAATCGTTGGCAACAGTAAATGAGTTAAAAATCATCATTTTTGTGCTCAATTATCTCACTGTTTCTCGACGATTACACTGTACATAACAATTATTTACCTCAGTGTTGGTGGCTAGTGGTGGTATTTACTTCGCCACGAAGCGGCTCGGGAAATGACCACACACACTAGAAACCTCCACTTCCGTGAATAATTGTTATGTACAGTGTAATCGTCGACAAGAATCTGCAAATCTGACGCATCCAAAAAAAGCATAACAATTAAAACAAAGCATGTGGAGAGTAGAGTTTCGATTATCCACATGTGGGTTTACTCAGTTTCGTGTCGGGACGGAACGTCCTCGTGTAAAATAAAGAAGAAGAGGAAGGAAAGAAAAAGACAGGATTCGTTTTGACGAAGCCTTATAAGCTATTGTACAATGGTGCCATCCGACTCTAGATTCTCGAGTATAATTCATTTTACAGAAAAGCCAGGTAGCGCTTTCCCCCCAAGATGCCATTAATGAATTCATTATTCAAAAGTTGAATCCGTTATTAGTTGTAAATTTCAGATTTATCTCTGCATTCTTACATGCCTAATGAACCGTGAAATCACACTCGAGGCAGTTATAAGAGGGTCTGGATGGGGTTACCTGACAACTGACAAATGGCCAAAATTTTAATTGACAATTGCCAAAAGATTTAACTGGCTACTGACATTTGTCTTGAGTTTTACTGTCAACTGACAAAGGACCTGATTGTCCCCTATTTTCTACAAACCTTTTTTAAGGCCTTAAATAGCATTGTTCCACTCTTTTCATCAGACAAAGTGATCAAATGTGCGTTTTTAGGGGTAATCTTAGCAGCAAGACGCTTAAGGGTCATATTTCGTCAACGATTTTACTGTAAACCCATGTATGTCATGTACTATCTGTTGTAAATGACCTATGATCTCAAATTTACGTTCCTTTGAATAGCTGCTCAGAATGAGGGCGTTACAAAGGCAATTGCAAGTTTTTACTGAGATGATTCAGAGACGGTTTTTCTTGATCTTCTCAGGATCTACGTCCCAGTATTATGCCTACCAACTTTTTCTGAGTCAAATGCGTGAGATTTTCACCTTGTCATGACCTAGATTTCCGGAAACGTCCCGGCCACTTCCGAAAATTTCCAACGAATTTCCGAAGACGTCCAAACGTTGCCGAAAATTAAATGTCTGCCGACTGTTCCCGAAGACGTTTGAGCACTTCCGAAGCTACTTAAAAGACGACACTTTTAGCGTGCTTTGATATGATTTCGTTAGAGTCCAAAAAAGGACTATCATTTGTTAGGAACAATTTGTCCGGATTTGTGAGTCAGGCGTGAGAAATTGTCCTTGATGGACCTTGATACGTGGGATCGATGTTTTTAGTCCACAGGCGTAAGACTCATGTATAATGTTTATACAATATTCTGATGGACAGGGTATAAATTTTGATTGGCTTAATGATTGGCAATGTTGGACTATGGCCAGCAAAAACGTTCGAGTGGAGGAGAGTAATACGAGACTTGAGAAAAGGAGGGCCACTTGAAATGCTTACAACATGTACAATATCAAAACTGATAAAAATTAAGGTACTATTGCATCAGTTTTCGAATTTAATGTTTAATTTACATTATATGTGCCTTTTAAGCCAAATTTCGCATCAGAAATATACAAATAAGTTTCATAGTTAATCATTGATAAACATTTAACAGACAACTGACAAAAAGCCTAAAATTCAACTGACAACTGACAAATGGCCCAAATTTTAACTGACAACTGACAACTGACAACTGGAAACTGGAAAGATGTGTCATGTTATGAGCATCGATGAGTAGGTTACCTGTATGGGTTGGTTTAATGTGCTTATGACTGAATTTATAGTAGCCTGCGTGGCAGGCTACTATTTCTCCCCAATCCACATTCCCTTTTTGCTTTCTCCTTATCCCCTACCCCTTTGGACACCTTCTACGCAAGCTAAATTCATAGTTGTCAGTGGTCGCAAGGATGGAGTTGATCTTGTTTTGATCTATTGCTATGTAGTTATTTTCATAGCACGATTTGGATAAGAAAAAGAAGTTATTTTGCATCAAAGCAAGGTTTACCCGTGTAACTTAAATATTGGAATGTTAACGGAAACAAGTAATGGACAACATGCGCATAATGCTCTCTGATTAAACTGAACAGGAACTATATGTATAAAGATACATCATATCTTGGTAGTAAGTTGTCACAGGTAACTTTTTCAAAGAGAAATAAACATTGTAGTTTTAGATTAATGGAACAAAACAAAACAAAACATCCGCTTTCTTTATCCAGGGTCGAACCCAGGGTTACAAAGTTCGATAAAGTTCCAATGTTTTAATCCAAGATGAAAGTTTAATATTCCAAGATGCTCTTGGTACGGTTAAAAATTAATTGCAATGTGTTTCCAAGGTCTCAAAGTTAACATAGTTCCAATGATTATCCCTGATTCCAAGGTATAATAAGTTTACTAAGGTCCACTCCTGATCCGTGTGCCATCCAGGAGTCCAATCCATGGCGAAAGCTAGTCGTCGATCGACGAGGACAATATTTTCGCGACTTCACGCCAATCGTCAAGGGTACGAGTTGAAATTTACGCGATTTAACCTCCCATCGTCAACGTGTTTTCGATAAGAACAGAAAAAAACTGAACTCTAGCTGTGCTCGGCAAAAACTGGCGAACTCCGAATAGAAAAATCTATCGGAAATCATGGCCCGCAACCAGACGGCCTCGACGCTACTAAAACCTTATGAAAAAGCTAGACCTAAACAAAAAAGAATCATGAAGGAAAGAAATAATTTGGTTTAGGTCGCCTTTCGTGACTTGTCAGTATCCCGAAGGATTTCGCTGGTTAACAAGCCATCCTAAAGCACGAGTGGGAAAACTCTAGCGCGACAAATTTGGCAAGGAACGTTCTGATTTCAACGTTCTTCAGAGGAAGCAAATCGATTAAAAATCGATACAGATTTTGTACAATCTGATTGGTCGGCTTTGAAGAAGAGCTAATCCATAAAGATTTTAGGCAATCCTATTGGTTGGCTTTGCAAAGTTGGGTACAACCGAACCGGATTTTTACCGTGGGAGTGCCACAGGCATCCCACGGAAAAAGATAACACCTGTTTTTCCCCTTCTTTATTTCTTTCTCTCTTTTTCTTTCGGTCATGAGGTTCAGGTAATCATCGCTTGGAAAATGAGAATGCCTTCGTAACAATTTTTTTTCTATAAAGGGTTTACTGTTGTCAAATAAGATAACTATATACCATCTTAGCAAGCTTGAGAAACTCAGAAGAAGTGCAGTCTGTAAAGTTTGATTCTCTCCATTTTCCTTCCATCGAACACTTTCGTGTCGACGAGCCTACAATGAAAGAAATGTATCAATAGGAACCCCTAAGGAAAACCACTTTGGGATTGATGATAATAGTCAATCGCCCTGTTCATAACAACATAAGCTAATATATAGATTTAGCCAGGGCTCAAAACGAAGCCAGTCCCTTTCTATACTTATGATAAAACCCGACATCAAATTTAAACCAATAACATGAACTCTAAGCCAAAAAAAAAAAAAAATAGAAAGAAGGAGCCTTCGGCACCAGTTCATCTTTAGAGGGAGGGGCTAAATGAGTAAGAAAAAATATCCGGCAAAGAAACCTGAATAGAAAAAATTGTGAAATCGCAGGTCTCTTGATCAGTAACAGCAATTTACAGGTTATGATTCTTAAGGTAACTGGCCCCAACGAAAAGCTGTGTGTAACCTTTAAGTTTATACAGCCTCAAAATATCTGATAGAAAGTTTAAAGGTGTATATTTTCTTTTAGGAGAGACATGAAAGCAAAGGATAACCTTTTTCGCTACCAATAACTATAATCCAATATTTCATATTTTTTAAATAAGAAATTTAAAAAACTCGGGCTCGAAAAGCCGACGAGTCTGTCGTTAGAATTGAGGGGAATTATTTAATATATTAGATAAGCTCACTTTTTGAGAGAGGATATGAAGGCGTAAAATAACAACTGAAAACAAACTACATTCAAGCGGTTTCAGCTGTATTTAGGGCACGAAAAAGAGCAATGGAAAAAGAGCAACACACTGCAAAATCTTGAATGGCAAGTAATGTATAGGAAAATGAATAGTAATTCAATGGAACATGTACAAAAACGACACTTACCTTATTATAGGAAATTAAAGCTCCATGAAATTAAGGTATTGGAAATTAACGCGACTTAAATTAACGCGAATTTACTGGAAAACGACTTTTGAATAAAGAAAATTAACGCGAAAGAGGAGGTAGAATTTCATAATAAAGGAAATTAACGCGATTAAGACAAAGCTGGTGGTGACAACTGGAACAAATTTGTTTCAACACTGGATGCAAAAAAATTCAAAACTGAGCTGACATCACTTCTGACAGCGACAGCGATGGAGATGAACTCGAAAGATTGTAAACCTTCACCTTAGCTTGTGTGAAAGATGAAAAATAAAGGGTAAATGGAAAGAAAGAAAGAAAGCTTGTAGTTAATGTTTTTTAGGTGTCAAGAATGTCTGGACTGGTTCGAAAATTGCGGTTAAAATACTGGAAATTAAGAGCGCGGAAATTAACGCTGCACTTAATTAACGTCGCGGAAATTAACGCTCAACAAAATTAATGCGACTTAAATTAACGCGAATTTTAACGATTCGCGTTAATTTCATGGAGCGTTGATTTCCTATAATAAGGTAGGTCTTAATTCAAGAATCATGGGGGAGTAGCCCCACTGAAGATTTTGGCCTAAACAAGGTGAAATTTAGCGGATCCCCCCTTTGAATGTTACTTCACTGAAGTGACCCCTCCCCCCACCCCAATAACTTTTGATGACTTTCACGATCCCCCACCATGTCTTCATTTTCCAAGCAAATTTAAGTGGTCCCCTGTCTGTATCCTTCCAGTTTTCAAGCGATCCCCCCCTTTTGGGTTCTCAGTTACAACTGATCCCTTATTTCGTTCTCTAAAAAATCAAGTGATCCACCCTAAAATCCTATACCAATTGCAAAACATTTTAGGAGGAGCCACCAACCGTGTGAGCACAGTCGCGGACAACACATATAGATGAGGAAAATAACGCAAAGCAAAACTAAGACGTTATTAAACGAACTAAATGTACACGCAACTTAAATAAATAAATAATGCACGCGCCCAAAATTAAATTGCGCGCACACACGTACCAAGATACAACTGAAATAAAAATCCAAGAAATAAATAAGCAATGTAAGGACACGATGGTGCAATTTAAGACTGGACTGCTAATCTCATCTCCCGTAGGGCTGCACCATACTTCTCGACGATAAGACCATGGAGATTGACGAATTTATTAAATGAATTCTGAAGTCGATTGGTTTCAAAGCCTTTTTGTCTGAGACGTAATGAATGTCCGCGGAGTCTATATATGAAGTCAATTTCCGGCGACATCCTCGCACACCCGCGAGCTGTGATACCCTTGTTTGGATCCAACCATAGACACGTAACGAGAAAAAAGTTTCAAAGTAGGTTCAAACATGAATGATTGGCCGCCAAACATTTGAATTTTGAGAGGGCGCAAGACAAATATGGGCACACCGCTCACTATAAAGAATTGACCGAAACCGGAAACCGCGCATAAAGAGTCTCTGGCATCCAGGTTAGCGATTGTCTAACAGCTTGACTGAAGCATCTGACCTTGTGTTCGCGGGGCGAAATATTCATCGCAAGTATTAGGCGTTAGGGAGAAGTAATGCAGTTTGAAACTCTCAAAAATAATTCTTAAAAGTAAGTGTACCGTTTCTGAGCGAAAATCATTCCTGGAAAAAAAGAAAAATATTTTGCACATTTGCATAAACAATTGAAGGCAAGGTTTCGTGTTTGGTGCGTGATAATCTTTGCCTTGGGTTTTCACGGTATGTCAGAATTCAATATCCATTTCTTTAAATGGCTACCAGCCGTTAGAAAATCTCAATCTTTAATCTCAAGATGAAAGTTTGACTCCAATACTACAATCCCTTTGTAAATGAAATTCATTCCTAAATTATGAGCGGAACGCGCTGATCAAAAACACGTCAGCAAGAGGAGCCGATTAGTATCGGCAACTGGCGCGAATTACTATGTTTGCTGTCAAACTTTAAAAGTTTGGCGGCGAAACATGTCACGATCACGTGAAAGTGGACCACGCGGGTCACGGAAACAACAGACAAAAGTAACCTACGCAGCACGCGCGCGAACTTTAAATAGATTTTAAAAAAATATCATGGGACACAGGGATTCGCTCTCTTAGCTCATTCTCCCTTGACAATGGAGAGTAGGCGTTGGAACAAAATCTCCAATTCTTTAAATTGCTCCTATCCCGGAAGCTATCTTTTTAGATAACTTATCGATGTGCGTTTGCCATCGTAGATTTTCATCAATAAATATTCCAAGCGATTTTACAGAGGTAACTTTTTTCATTGGAACATTATCAATGGAGAGCTCGGGTTGGCTCGACAAAGTACTCAATTTTTGTCTTCATCCAATTAGCATAAATTCAGCTTTAGCCGTGGTCAAAGTAAGTTTGTTGGAAATGAGCCATTTGTTTAGATTACCTAAATCGTGATTCAGATTTAACTGTATTAAACTCACATCCACATCTGCATAAGTGATATGTGTGTGTCATCAACGTACGTCCTACAGTAGGCTGGCATGAAGTTAGGCAGTTTGGAAAATCGCAAATGTAAATAAGAAATAAAAGGGGACCGAGAATTGTTCCCTGAAGTACCCTGCATTTAAGTGAACAATTAACGAGACATCGTTGTGTACAGTTTGTCAAATACGATCTAAACCAGTCGAGAGCGATGCCTTATATTCTGTAAAGGTTCGTTTTAGATAAAAGGATATCATGATCAACAGTGTCAAATGCCTTTTTTAAATCCAGAAAAACTTCACAGCATTAACATTACCACGATCGATATTAAAGGCCCAGTTATCAGTAGCTTCAAGGAGAGCAGTTACAGTTGAGTGTAAATAGCGAAAGCCCGATTGATGTGCAGAAATGATATCTTCATTGCTCAAAAACTTATGCAATTGGTCATAAACAATCCTTTCGAAAACTTTAGCTATAACTTTAGCTATAGTGACCGGTCCCTAACAATGTAAGATTCTTTTTTTTTTTTTCAGCATTATATAATTCATGAGCGATATTTTTTTCAGTGCAGGATATTATCATTCCCAGTTATATCCTTGGAAGCTTTTTCCCCTCGAAATCAGTCTGCAGGATATGTTTTTGTGATAAGTCTGCTATTTAGTTGAAAAAGTTCGACTTACACATTTCAAACTGCGGTGTGTGCTGATGAAAGAGTTTTGAAGTACTTCAATAAAGGCACGGTCCACAAGTGATAGCACGATCAGTGACTTACTGCGCTTTGGAAACGTTTATTTTTTTTTTTTATATAGCTAGCTGGTTCTTGTTTGACTGTGCTATTTGTCATTCTATACCATTTTTTTGGTGGAAATACAGCTATTTCTATCTAGCATTTCTTTTTTCATGAGGATAGTTTGTGATAGCTATTAAGCTGCACGGCCTTGGTTGAGAAAGGAATTTTAAAAATAGTGTTTTAACACTTTTAAAATTTCAAAATGATGTTGATGACGCAAAAAAGACAGAAAGGCGATTAGATGACAAAAGCGCTAAATAAAATCACCTAAACTGAAGAGAAATGTTGAATGCGATTCAAGAAAGTAAACGTTGCAACAGACTTGTAATGATTCCGCTCGGAACACCATTCCATTCCAAGAATGGGGATCATTTCGGGGTCGAATCGGGGATCATTTAAGCGTTGAGGATGATTTAGGGGGCTGTACAGTTTTAAGTAAGTAGTTAAAGTAAATAGCTAACTAAAATTAGTAGTTAACTGAGAACTGGCCAAAAAATAGCATACAAGTACGTAACTGATGTTTGGCCGAAACATTAGTAATTAACTGAGAAATGTGTACCCCCATTTGCACCCTCTTATATACAAGGCTATCGTGAGCGTACGTTTAAAGTCATACTTAACCTGTAGCTCCCTGTGGACAAGGTTTGATATCTGTTTGTCCTCCTCTAGTAGCTGACCATGATACCCCATTTGTCAATTGCGGTGGACATTCTAACGCATCTGGGGGTGGAAATGAATTCAGGAATGGCATCATCGACATTTAATTAATCAATTAATCATAACTAAATCGAGAGAATGATTTATACAAGAAAAGATTCATGTCATTTAAAAACGCTACACGTGGTCGACATTTATTTCAAACGCACGTAATTAACACACTGCGTAATTTCACCTGGTGTAGCACTTGGCAATCCGTTGCCACAGTCACGTAAGTAGCAAAGACGAGGCCGTTTGAGTTTGTAAACGAAGAATCCTCGGCAGTCACGAAAAGTAATGTTAGTTAGAAAAATAGCAGCAGCCTCTAGATGTGAAACAAATAGATCGATTGACTGCGCCATCAGCTACTATAGGATGGCTACCATTAAGCCAACCCGGAAACCCAGTTCCGCAGTGACCATAAGGAACCCATGAGTCAGTAATTTGATCACCAGCGCGGCACCATCCATCCAGACGTGAATCGCACAAAAAATACGCGCGCTTTGTGAAGGTCCTAGCTCTGCCTGACCCGTTAAGAAGGGTGTATGCAAAACACTCCGCAAGAAATTCTTAACTGGCAAAGTGGTGGGATGTGCCGCCCAATTATCTAGTCAAGTAATGGTTAAAGTCGTTAGCGTCAAACAGACCTCTCCCTTCAAAAAAGGTTATTCATTTATTTAGGTTTTTTTCCGAACAAAACCTCCAATATCTGTAAAGTGCGTATTATAGAAACTAACAATGCAACGTTTGCTTTTTTCATATCTCTTCCTTTCTTTCTCTTCACTTTTATTTTATTTTATTTAATTTTCCTCTTTTTTTGCTTTCCTTTTCCTTAGCTGGTATGGTTTTGAGCTTATCGGACGTAAAAACCCGGCCTTAATTGACCCTTTTTCACTCAATGGCTCAATGGCTCAATGGCTCAATTTCGTTTAAGAGCATTTTAAAAAATCGGATAGATATATAAGTTTCTATTTTACTATTAATAAATCGGACCCTTCTATAACTATCACTGTCAGGACTGACTGTCGGTAATTGGAAGAACCTTTTGGTTTTTTCGTTGTTGACATTTTTTGATTTTTTTTTTTTTTTGATTTTTTTACCTTACTACCGACTCTGAAACTGGGCTTCAAGAACTTCTGCGATATGATAAACGCTTTTCTCGTTCTCATTGTTGTCATCGACATCGTCATCATTATCGTTATCGTTACCATTACCGTTACGTTTTCCTTACCGTCATCGTTATTGTTGTCGTTGACGTAGTCGTTATCGTAATCATTTATACAGGAAGCTGTTAGTGTTCGCTATTCAACTTCACGAGAGCGAGAGAACTAGAAAGAAAATTACTACATGAGCCTCACTTATTCGACGTATGCATCTTCCCACGCTAGGTTTCTATTCATTTGGTTTGTTTGTTCGTTTGATTTTTTTTCCAACTAAGTCTTGCTTCGCATGTCACCGCCCCAAATAGCCAAACAAATCTAAATTATAAGCTTTCAACATGGTTTATCTTAATCACAAAGACCAGGGACGATCGATCCTCGGTCAAGCCTGATTTTCGTTTAGGTTCTTTTTCAACCGCTTAGGCTGTTTATTACACTGCGAAGATCAGTTACACTATCATGGTTGAACTAGGACTGGTTTAACGATCACTAACAAAAATGACTTTTTAAATTTAAAGACTTCTCTTCAAGCAAGTGCAGCAAAAGTAACGATCCAAATGATCTCATTACAATCCGTCAGTCTTCCCTTCTTCCCCTCAGGCGAAATTTCGGCAAAACGAATTGCTTATATCTGTGGATGCGAAATTTCGCCAAGATGACAGCGAAATTTCGTTTCACACGAGCAACGAAAATTCGCAAGCCCTTCAACGAAATTTCTTTGGTGATCTTTTGACGAATTTTAGCGACAGCCAAAGACAATCAGCGAACTTCGCCTTTATTTATTTTGCAGAGAACTGTAAATGAATCGCAAACGCCGAAGAAAAGAAAACAAACAAACAAAACAGATGCCGGGCCTGATGGATCTAGTCAGCAAACGTTTTTTTTCCTTTTTTTGGAAGCAACGCTGACTGTACAGCTATGAGATTATATTTTCTTCCAATATTACACCGGGTACGCCCGACTTCTTCAGGGAATGACAGCTAAGTTACAGTTTAAAATCCCTGATTATCATTGCCATTGGATATAATTATCATTGTTATATTCCTAGAATTTCACTCAACTAAACAGGGGCTGCAATTGGTTGATTCTTGGACACGTGGCCTTGACTAAAATCAAATGTATCCCGATCGTGATGCATTAAATAATGTATCCCGCTCGGGATACATTGCAGCACGTGATCAAAGCATGGTGCAAATTAAAGTGGCGTGACAGAAGGCGGGAAAAACACCGCCAGGTCCTGCCAGTTTTCTCTTTCGTGAATGAACACAACAACACAATCACGAAGCCTCAAGCTAAAAAGCAACGATTTTTAAAGTTATCCCAGAAGTTCCCAGAAGAAAAACAGGAGCTAGTGGAGGAAAAAGATGCAGATGATATAAGGAAAGTACTTTTGTTTGTAAATCATTCTAAGTTTGTGTTGTTATAAGTACCGAGTCGACTGTTTTGGTTTGTTTTCGTTCGCTCCGGTTATTCTTTTGTTGCTGTTGAAGTGAAAGTCTAGAAATATAACAAAACACTTAATGTCAGATCCCTCGGGAAACCAGTTAGTTTTTTTTTTCTCTCGAGTCAGTTAGTTTTTTTTTTCTCCTGATGTTTCCCTCGACTTCGTCTCGGGAAAAATCAGGACTCTCGGGAAAACAAAACTAACTGTTTCCCTTGGGATCTGACATTAGTGTATAATATCATTACCATTATCATTACCATGAACCTTCGTCACCACATTGTGATTATCATTATCATTATCACTATTATAATTCCACTGACTTGACTGCGTGATGCAGTTAAGCCTTAGTGAGTTGCTTGTGATGGATTGTGTGACTGCGTGATGCGGTTGGCAAGTCCAACCCACAAAAATTACCCTTCCTCGCCAATGAGTCATTAGTAGCTTAGAGGTTAGAGCATCCGATATAGAACACGGAGGGTCGTGGGTTCCAATCCCATCTGGGGCTCAGATTTTTCCTGTGTCCTCTTATGGTTGATTCTTCACATCTCCCTTTATAACTATTATTATTATTATTATTATTATTATTATTATTATTACCATTATTACCATTACGAGTGTCATTATCATAATTATTAGTAATGGTAAAAGGACTAAGTGGAGTACAATTTAGGGAGTAATCTGTGACTAGCTAGATCCAACAAGCCCAGCATCCTAATTGTTTGTTTCTTTGTTTGTTTTTGTTCGTTTGTCCTTGCTGTTTATTTACTGTTCTGTGCGAAAGAAATGAAAGCGAAATTCGCTGAATTTCGTCCTTTGTTCTCACGAAAATTCCACGATAAGTTCGGTACGAGCTCGTTGAAGCACCGGGGAATTTCCGTTGAGTCAAACAAAATTTCCCTGCCATTTTTGCTAAATTTCAGATCCACAGGAGCCAAATTTTGCCAGAAAGGAAGCGAAGACGCGTACGGACAGATTGTAAGGAGGCCCTTTATTCAGATAGTTACGTTTGCTTTGATTGCTTGAGGCAAGTATTTTGGTGAGCGTCCATTAAACATGTCAGAGTTAAAGATTGGTCGAAACCATGAAAAGAAAGATTTTCGCAGGAAAATAAACAATACAGCGGTTGAAAAAGAACCTGAAAAAATTCAGGATTGACCGGGAAACGAACCCTTACCTCTAAGATATAAAATATATCATGTTGGAGGCTAATGTTTTAGAGAAGAGAAAAACGCAAGAGTTGTACCCTTAGTTTTCATAATACATACTTTAGAGGTTTTGGAGGTTTTTCCAATAAGATAAAAATTGTCTGAAGGAAGAGGTCTGTTTAGCGCTAACGTTTTCAAAAATTCGGTTCTTTTTTTCTTTTTTTAAATAATAACAAAAGTGCTTTAACAATGTCTTAATTGACTAGAGAACAGGGAGGGACATCCCACTAGTTAAGAATTCCTGAGAGCACTCACACAGGGGTCATGATGACTGCAAGACCGTTTAAAGTGCCCTTTTTTTCTCTCTTGCAGAGTGTTTTACATATACCTTTCTTAACGAGTCAGACAAAGCTAGGACCTTAAGAAACACTAGTTGGGCGTGGTCTCCATTGTTTGATTTAAAGCTGGATGGATGGTACCTATTTGGAGGAGACGCTGGTGATCAAATGGCCGACTCATGCGTTCCCTATCGTCACTGAAGGGCACAGAGGCCGGGTTGGCTTAATGGTAGCCACCCTACAGTAGCTAATGGCGCAGTCAATCGAATTGTTTGTTTCAGTTCCTTTAGCGGCTGCTGCCAATTTTCAACTTCCATCACCGTTCGTAACTGCGGAGGATTCTTCGTTTACAAACTTACAAGTGCAACTGTTTGTGTCTCGATCTCCATTGCACGTTACTGTAGCAACGGATTGCCAAGTATTACACCAGGTGTAATTACGCAGTGTGTTAATTACGTGTGTTTTAAAGTTTGTCTAATATATAAATATTAAAGCCATAAGTTTTGAAACAGAAGCCGTTTCTTACATCCTGCAACTGTAGTAAAAGCAGGTTGTTTTGTTTTCAGAAAAGGTGTTGGCACGCTTGGTTTATTTGACACGTCGTGGCTTTTGAGTGTTGTTGAGATGATACTTTTTACTGTAGGTGTGGTATATCTTTTAGTTGGGGTTAAGATGTGGTATCCAGATGAGGTCGAGACGCAGTTAGGAAGTGTGAGGTACATTTGGCTGTCCGTATTGATTGAGCTGTGGCTTCCAGGTGTAGCTGTCCTGTGGTGTGCTGGCTTGATTATGATCTCTCCGCTTGTGTTTGTCCCATAAGCACCTAGTGTGGTGAGATAAGACTTAAAGTTGAGAACGTGCTGTTGCTTTTAGGTGTGGTTGATTTGTGGTCTGGAGGTGTAACTATATGTTTTGGTATTACTGAACCTACGAGGTTGCGATCGGCAAGAAGCTGCAAACCAATGATAAACTATAACGCTGGTTAACTAAACCAAACAGAAACTTCAACGAGACTAATAAGCCAATGCCAGCTCTAACATCACAAACACGACCACCTATGAAAAACTGACGTCTGACGTCGGGAAGCGAAGAATATACCTAAAATGGCAATAAGTAAATTCGCGAAATAAGCAAAAATTCAAGTACAGGTAAAAGCAAAAGATCAAAACAGGAAAACAGTACATGGACAAAATCAAGACTAACCTTGATCCACTTAATGAAACAATAACTAGACTTAAACATGGCATAGATCTTAAAATAACTTTCAAAATACTTCGCAACAGAGAGTTAAGCTGAAAAGGCATCTGAAGTCTAAGTTTTATTTAGCTCTGCTCTTCTCAGGATATATGGTTACTAAGATAATTTTGCGTCATAGGCTCCTTAATTCACGTACCAGTGCATCGACGACTCAGACTCTTGTAACCATCTGTATATGAGCAATTGCTAAAAGTTCCATCCTTTTTTGAAAATATTCGAAGCTTAGCTGATTCCAACTTGCAATCCCAGGCTGGAGCACTATTTCCGAAGTATATCAAAACACAGGAAGCTGCAATTATTTAATCATCATTAACTTCGCTACAAGGATGAAAACTGTGAATGACAAGTGCGGTCAGGTAGGCTTTTATAGATTGAGCTAGTAAAAGTAGCATATAATGCCAGTAGCACTGCTCTTTTTTTGGCCGAATTATGCTCGTTGTCCAAATTATGCTACTTCACAAACCATGGCAAATAAGTGCAAAAATACCTTTTCTTTAACCAGAAGCCGTTTAATTCTTGTTAGCTATAATATATATTATTATTCATTCAAAATATTTCCCCGATTCTGATTGGCTAAAAGCACACGTTGAATTCACTATAGCCAGTTACTGATGACCAAATTTGGAAGAATTTTGACTTTAACGAGGAAATGACGTCAAAAATGCAGCGTTTTCGCAGGTTAAGGCACCGTTAACCTAGAAGACCTGGGGACGAGGTTGAGTTGTTTTGGTTGTGAACTTGAAAAAATGGCGGACATTTCACTCGTTTCAAGAGTAAGAACTAGGTGACAAAAACGAAAAACATGGCTAGAACAGCAAGAAGACAACTCGAAGTGCGACATCTGCTATTTGGAGAATATTTGCGGAGCTGGACAAACCTAAACGTACACTATCGAAGATGAACTGAACATCGATGGATCGGTGGACGTAAGCATGTTTTGGCTATGTTTTTAAACTAGGAATTATTTTGAATGAATAATAAAACAGTTATTGAATTCGGCTTTCGTATCATATGAAGAATCATGGAGATCTCGGCCGATGTTAGTAGTAATAGACGGGGGGTTCTACGCAGTGGTGGAGGTGGTGGAGTGACGTCGCAATAGCTCAGGGGATTAAAATGATGAGATCATCATCTAAAAATAGAAAGGTATTCTGTATAACAATCTAGGGAGTTGACGTCATCAAAAAAACGATGAGATCATCATAAAAATAATCATTTAATATGGTAACTGTGGAGATGACATCATCAGCTTAAATTAGAAAGGGTTTTTTGACATGATCAGCTATTTTCTATAGTCTATGACATCATTATTTATTTTCATCTTTTTAAGATCATATAAATGAAGGTTATTTTTATTAATCATTATTATCATGCAAAACGAAAATGGTTATTATTCAGTCTTTGATAAGAATAAAGTTTAATCATTTTATCGTATGATAGCGAGGGCCATAGTTTCCCCCTCGAAAGAAATAACGTCTCTCAAGAAAACATTTTGCGACCTCTCAGGGTCAACAATTTCCAAGCTGAAAGAACTCCATTCTGAAGTATTTCTAAAAGTTACTTTGGGCAGACTCTTGGTGTTCTTGAAATTTGCAGAGGATCTGGAACTGACGCAGGAAGAATGAGGACAATTATATGCTGTTATTTATCCCACTTTAATATATCAAATCTGAGAGCAGTTATATAAGGCGATGATGTAGGCAGTAAAATCTTAAGACTGGAACATTGCGAAGTGATTAGAGCGATGGGTTGTTGTCCACCATCGACCACTTTTGGACATCGTTAGTCAGTTAATTATGCGAGTTCGCAAGCCCACCGTTCCATACAAATAGCCCCTATGCATGATTACGTCAGACGAGTAAATTTCACCAACAAGCCTCGTTTGTGAACAAAATTTTTTGCATTTGCACTTTTTGTGCGTGGGTATTCTTTTCAACTCTACTGCCTTGGGAATTCATTTCTGTGAAACTTCGCCTATTTTTAATTTCAAAACGAGGCTTGGTGGTGAAATTTGCTTGTGTGACGTAAACATGCATAAGGGCTATTAGTACAGCTCTGCAGGAAAAGCCCCAAGAGAGAACTTTCAAGTGACTTATTATCATAAAAACAATAAAAACATAAAATAACTTAACAAGGATCAATTGAAACACGCGACTTACAATTGCGAGCAATAAAGTTTTTTTAAAAAACTTTATTAAAAACCAATAACAAAAAGAGTCAAATACACAGCGATTTGAAAGGAAAAGTAATGAAAATTAATCCTTTGACTGACTATTACAAATTCGTTTTCTCCGTTCTATTACGAGGAATAATAAATAATCCTTTCGTGTCTACACAATTTCCCTATGGCCTCTAAGCCTTTCTTTCTTTTCCTTTCTTTTCTCGACTTTCTTTGTTTCTTTCGGTTTGTCTTGTTCTTTGTAGTTGTTCTTTTAGCTTTTGCTTTAAAAGAGGTTTTATTTCTTCGTGATCTTGACAGTTCGTACACCGTTTCTTGTGTCTGTACTGGACTGCGAGTACTAGTTGAGTGATTTTTTCCGGAATTATCCGCTTCACTTTCGTAAACGACAACTTTAACTTTAGGTTGCAGTTGATGACTTGATCATAATACCAATAACAGTAAACTTGTGGAATAAATAGCAAATCTGAAATTTGAAATACCAGTTACTAAAGGAAGAACAAAACTTTTTAATTAGGCACTGTTATTTGTGATTACACTTAATAAAGATGATGATTCCAATATTGAAAGCTGTTGCGTGACTAGCGACGTGCGATACCCACGCGTGTGTACGAGAAAAAAGGCACATGACTGAAAATGGCCCGTTTGTCTCCTTTTGTCTCTTTTGGCCTGGTTTTGGCCTTTCTGGCCTGGTTATGGCCTTTCGGGCCTGTGTTTGGCCTTTCTAATACTCTGTATAACCTGAATATTTGCGAAATAGAAGTCATTTGTGTTCAGTCATCGAACTGTCAACAGGTTTTTGAACATGGTTTACAAGAGAGTTTGCAGAAACTGTCCGATTTCATGGTGCGGGGCGAAGTACCTTGTCAGATTAGCTAACCATCTCGCGGATGTTCATCAGTTAGACCACATACAGCGAAGACAGTATTGACAAGAGGCGAAACTGCAACCTAAAGTTAAAGTTGTCGTTTACGAAAGTGAAGCGGATAATTCCGGAAAAAATCACTCAACTAGTACTCGCAGTCCAGTACAGACACAAGAAACGGTGTACGAACTGTCAAGATCACGAAGAAATAAAACCTCTTTTAAAGCAAAAGCTAAAAGAACAACTACAAAGAACAAGACAAACCGAAAGAAACAAAGAAAGTCGAACTCTTCGCTTAGAGGCTATAGGAAAATTGTGTAGACACGGAAGGATTATTTATTATTCCTCGTAATAGAACGGAGAAAACGAATTTGTAATAGTCAGTCAAAGGATTAATTTTCATTACTTTTCCCTTCAAATCGCTGTGTATTTGACTCTTTTTGTTATTGGTTTTTAATAAAGTTTTTTTAAAAAACTTTATTGCTCGCAATTGTAAGTCGCGTGTTTCAATTGATCCTTGTTAAGTTATTTTGTTTTTATTGTTTTTATGATAACAAGTCACTTGAAAGTTCTCTCTTGGGGCTTTTCCTGCAGAGCTGTACTAATTTGTATGCAACGGTGGGCTTGCGAACTCGCATAATTAACTGACTAACGATGTCCAAAAGTGGTCGATGGTGGACAACAACCCATCGCTCTAATCACTTCGCAATGTTCCAGTCTTAAGATTTTACTGCCTACATCATCGCCTTATATAACTGCTCTCAGATTTGATATATTAAAGTGGGATAAATAACAGCATATAATTGTCCTCATTCTTCCTGCGTCAGTTCCAGATCCTCTGCAAATTTCAAGAACACCAAGAGTCTGCCCAAAGTAACTTTTAGAAATACTTCAGAATGGAGTTCTTTCAGCTTGGAAATTGTTGACCCTGAGAGGTCGCAAAATGTTTTCTTGAGAGACGTTATTTCTTTCGAGGGGGAAACTATGGCCCTCGCTATCATACGATATAATGATTAAACTTTATTCTTATCAAAGACTGAATAATAACCATTTTCGTTTTGCATGATAATAATGATTAATAAAAATAACCTTCATTTATATGATCTTAAAAAGATGAAAATAAATAATGATGTCATAGACTATAGAAAATAGCTGATCATGTCAAAAAACCCTTTCTAATTTAAGCTGATGATGTCATCTCCACAGTTACCATATTAAATGATTATTTTTATGATGATCTCATCGTTTTTTTGATGACGTCAACTCCCTAGATTGTTATACAGAATACCTTTCTATTTTTAGATGATGATCTCATCATTTTAATCCCCTGAGCTATTGCGACGTCACTCCACCACCTCCACCACTGCGTAGAACCCCCCGTCTATTACTACTGATGTTATCCGCCTCGGCCTACGGTCTCGACGGATAACGCCCTCCTCGATCTCCATAATTCTTCATAAGATACTCAGCCTCATTCATTAACTGTTAAATATCCTTTTTCGTGTACGTTTATTGTTCATGCTTCGAACTTCTTTTAACAACAATCTTCAAGTTTTCACTCTAATCGGCTGGCATAGCTGACGCCATTTTGTAACCTTGCCTATAAGAGGTATTGGGACCGACATGGTTTGCCATGGGACTTCCGATTCCCGTACACCCTAGTCCCAGGCCCCCATTTCAGGGGCTCAGTAAACTGTAAATAGCGCTAAAACATCTAACAACGTCAGCGTATAATTGGGATTTGGGAATTGAAGTGCCTGTCAAAACGCAAAAATGTCCCGATAATTATCTAAATGTGCGAATTATGCTACGTTTTAAACAATGGGAAAAATTATGCTAATTTTCTCAAATTATGCTAAAAATTATGATAGAAGTCTTAAAAGCTGCTGTGTGGTGACAGAAATTTCCCTTTAGAGAGAGTTGTCTTACCAGGAAATGTCTTAGCAGGTTTTCAAAATTTTGGCATCATGATGGAATTCATATCACGTGGCAGTATATTGTACGAACGTATGATGGTGTAACCAGAGTAAAGACTGAATGCAGTTGAAGCCTAACTGGCATTTAACTGAGGCAATACCTGGTCTTTTTTTTGACCTGTAACTTGGCGTTTGGACGTGAAATTCGCAGCAAATTCTTGAGGTTGCGTTTGCTGACTCTGTTACTGATTTCAAACAAGTCATGCAGATGTGTATTACCCCATCCGTACAGTTCCAAAAAGTGGCGTTCCCGTTCGTCAGAACATTGGTATTTTCTGTACAAGTAACTGAAAAAAAAATACAAAAATACAAAAAATAACAAATGCATTCCGTAGTGTCTGGCGGCACGTGTGGCAACCACAATGTCTAGGAAATCCAGGAAACGCGATCTGTTTCTCGTAGATCCTACACTGCTTCTAGGATCTTGAAGCGTGATTAAGAAGTAATCATGAATTACGTGTGTCGTCATTCCGTCATCATTGAAATTAGCGGGCAGTTCAAATGGCTAGAAAACTGACTGGGCACTACCATTATGTATTTTTTAAAAGGAATCTGTAAATGGTAAATGTAGAAAATGGTTATTAATTATTGGTAATACTGCGCATGCTCGCTAATTTGAATATCACCTGAACATTCATAAAATGCTCTGCTGGACCTTGCCAGTTTAACCACAGGCGGCCCAGACGTAATATGTGTCACTGAATGAATATATTAATATTCACATGGACAAATTAATGCGATGAGTCGTCGAAACTCCCATGAACTAAAATAGTCCAAAAGTCAAAATATAACAAACTAAAGCTAAGATATCTTCAACTGAACGTATCCTTGTCTTTCCTGGCCGGTTTAATTGGCATTTTGTTGAGTTTTGCAATTGTAGGTACTATCCACTAAAGAAAAATTAAAGGCTGGCTACAAAACAAACGGACCATCTCCACGCGCCTTCACACGAAGCGCTATAAATTCGAGAATAATCGACGAATCCGCTCCAAATTGCCATCGGCTAATCTGCAGGTAACGTGTGCTCCTGCTTCTTGCTCGCTGGCTCTACAAAACCCATCGCAACTGCACAATGCACAATAACTGTTTGCTCATCAAAAACCACTGTTGACCTTTACGCTTCGATATGACCGCAAACTACCAGGTTTAATACGCGACGTGAATATTCAAGCTTAGCGACCGCGTTCGCGCAACAATACAGCACTTGCTATGGGAGTGATGGTACTATTGCTTCTACGTCAATCGACACTGACCTAAGGTTCGCTGCGTTAGTTTTGACCAGAAAACAAAAGGCGATCACGCGACCGTCCGTAAGTTTTCAACACGGCGGCTCTGGTTTTCAAGTTCGAATTCTTCTAACGTTCGCTGTCACAGCTGCTGTCACATTGTTAGTCCAGCCGCTTGCATAGCTAGGTTCTAATCTTGACTCCACTGGACCTATTTGCTTGGATTAATTAAATAAACAGTTCTTTCCAGAACAACGTCTTACTCCACAATATGTTGTCCAAACTGGTGAGGGAGGACGAGAATTTTCCGCCCAGGAAAAAGGCAAAATCTGGCCTCGGCTATGCAGCTGAATAGAAGATACAGCTGAAGATATCGTAAAGTAAAATTTATGTGCGCGATATCTTTTTTTGTTATTATTATTATCAAAACTCAGGGGCACCCAACGATGATTTCCCCCTAAATGCATTGAAAACACATTTAAGGCTGTCCAGAGTACTTTCGATCTAAAAATGCATTCTAAACAGCGCTTACATAAATTTAGTCAGGAGGGCTAAAAGCGAAGCTAATGATTTATAGTTTGCTCATGCTAAATATAAAATATATCGTGCAATGCTAAGCGGAGAAGGCAACGAGACAGGGGCACCCAATACTTTGAAAACACTTTTGTAGCTATTCATAAAGTACTTTTAGCTCTATAGAAATGCATTCTAAGTGGCGCTATAAAATTTGTATCTCAGTGTTCGGCCATTCTAGAGGAACTTGAGTCTTTTTGAAATTACGAGGAATTCAGAATTATTTTCCCGAACATTTTAGATGCAATTTAACGTATTACGAAAGAGATAATTTTTCAGATTCCTTCTTTCATCACATTTTTGAATCCGAAAATTTTAGGATTCCTTTTTACTCTCTACGAAAAATAGCCTAACCCGGTGACTGAAATGAGAAAAATTAAACGTTGGACGCCCTTGACCAGAACTGTGAAAAACAACAATAGGTCTAATTGCAGCACACTTTCTTGTACATTTCCTTACCGTTGATTTTCATGACTGCAAGCAATAGTACCATCCCTCCCATAGCAAGTGCTGCATTGTTGCGCGAACGCGGTCGCTAAGCTTGAATATTCACGTCGCGTATTAAACCTGGTAGTTTGCGGTCATATCGAAGCGTAAAGGTCAACAGTGGTTGTTTATGAGCGAGCGATTATTGTGCAGTTGCGATGGGTTTTGTGGAGCCAGCGAGCAAGAAGCAGGAGCACGCGTTACCTGCAGATTAGCCGATGGCAATTTGGAGCGGATTCGTCGATTATTCTCGAATTTATAGCGCTTCGTGTGAAGGCGCGTGGAGATGGTCCGTTTGTTTTGTAGCCAGCCTTTAATTCTTCTTTAGTGGATAGTACCTACAATTGCTAAACTCAACAAAATGCCAATTAAACCGGCCAGGAAAGACAAGGATACGTTCAGTTGAAGGTATCTTAGCTTTAGTTTGTTATATTTTGACTTTTGGACTATTTTAGTTCATGGGAGTTTCGACGACTCATCGCATTAATTTGTCCATGTGAATATTAATATATTCATTCAGTGACACATATTACGTCTGGGCCGCCTGTGGTTTAACCAGCCTGCATCGATCAAAGAGCACCTGTCTCACTAAATTAAAAACCTTTTTGCAAACGGCAAATTTGGAAAATGTTGATTATTAAAGAGAGAATATGGCTTAATTTCCGCCATCGAAGTGCCAAACGATAATATTTTTTTAAGTAGAATTTTTTTTCCAGTTATTTTGCTTGCCTATCACATGCCGACTGCTCTTCTGACTTCCCGTGCCCTGTAGAAAGACGTCCGGTCAAAACAATATTTCAAGACAAAAATACTCGGTAGTTATTCACGGGCAAGAGCTTATTCATGAATTAAAGAATGTTTACATAAACCGAGCATGGAAAAAGAATGAAAGCATTTTTCGAACTTGTGAATAAGAAAATGCTACTTAAGTCAGCTATAATATCGGGAAATTCATAGTGAACATAGCGTGTTTCGCTTAAAGTGCAATAATCTAGCTTATCAAAAACTGAATTAACAATTGGCAGAAAAATGAACTCATCCTTCTCATTTATTTTCATAGTTTGTGGATTAACAAATGGATTCTACATCCAATAATTTCGAAATAAATTAATTTCATGGCCTAAAGGTAAACGAAGTATAGACGCCGTTTTAAATATAAATTATCAGGTGGCCAATATCCACCCTGGCCTGTTGCTCATAAGCTTAGACAACAAAGTTTATTCAGTGGTTTCCGAATATTTTCAACTTTTTTGTGGCTCGTTCATAATTAAAACTGTATTAAGATATTTCTACATTAGAAAACCGTTATACAGCTGTAGGGAAATATAACAGGTCGATAGTGTTTTTATCTGGAACGGTTCACCAGGAAGACATATCGAACATGCTTACCTTTTTTAGGCTGACAATCCGTGTTTTGAGCTCTGGTTGGCTGCATGAATTAATCAGAAAACAGAGGGTTTAGAAATCTTTGATGAAACAGACTTTTTTTGTTGTCAAGGATAAAATATGACTTTAACAAACGCTTTCAAACCTCTTCGCTACATCTACATAGTAACACGATGAAAGTCAGAAGGAAATTTGCTTTGATGCCAGATCTCATTTCTCTCTGCTAGTTCTTTTAACAGCGCCTTTAAAACCATCCCTTTTCGACGAATGGATAAATGTCACTACGTTATTTATAATTATCTGTTAACATTGGCACCTTAGAGCGGCAGGTTTAAATATTCATCACGCATCATCCTTTAACTGTCAGTATTTATGCTCCATGTTCCTTTTTTAATTATCAAGTTAATTATAAATGTTGGCGGAGTCTCTCTTTGGCTGAGCTCCGTTTGCCGGGATACCAAATAATGGCAATTCTATTTAAATGTGGCGTGAATTTTGGCCACAGGGGTGGCCGTTTATTTAATTTAAGCATATACAGCTAGGAAAATCCGGATACACAAGAAGATTATAATTATCCCAGCAAAGGTGTGGACACTCCCGTCACAGCCCGGAGCACTCACAGCCGGAGAGCATTAAGGATATCTCTTTTCTGGATATTATTTAGAAGGTATTTGTACGCAATCAACTGATTGATTTTATTCCCGGGTATGAAAAAGCCTCCTACTTGACCTCCAGCCATCCTTTTTAATGCTGATGCTAAAGCCATTTCAGTGCCTACAACTTCCCTCAGTATATTACCCCCAGATATATTTGTTTACCAATTGACTAGCACCTTCTGATACTAATCCATCAAGAGCGGCTAATCCAAGTGTTTTACCCAACAGGTGCTAAGGCTCTGCCCATTGATAAGATGGATGTTAATAGGCTGCCTCCCACTTCCTTTCTGACACAAGTCTTAGCTAATTTGATATCCACGCCTAGTAGCATGATATTTGCGACCTTGTGAGGTGAGAGACCAAAAACGTCATAAACACCATTGGCCAATAGCAGGCGCTGTTATATACCAGGATATAACCCGCTGAAATCATGCGTGATAGAAGTGACCTTTGCTCAAACAAAGGCTCAAAACACTTTTGTTTGGATGTAACTATCAGCCGGTTTTATTTCTTATTTCTTTGGTAAGTCAATCTGCTTTATTTCTTATTCATTTTTTTACGTTTACTGTATCCTTTATAATTGGTAGCCAGCCTATTTGTTCAGTCTTTGTAAGCTTAGTGTTTAACTGCGTCCTTATAACTTTACACTGGTTGTTACGAGGCAAAGTCGTATCGACACAATTTGAATCAGTTTAATTTTGCATGGTTAGTTTATAGAATTAGACCGAATAATTTTCGAGGTAGTTGTCTTGTTCAGGTGTTACCTATAAGCTTACGTTTAGTGATCGAAAATGAATGTGTGGTCGATTTTACAGGCT